ACTATGTATATGATAATTTACTGATTATTTTTATTTTGTATGTTAAATATTATCATATCCACATGTTAAATTAAAATTAAATTGTAAAAAAAATTCTAATTTACCTGCAATGACTGATCCATGGGTAGCTATAGCGCCCCCTAGCGCCCCCTAGCGCCCCCCCCCCCCCCCCCCCCGGCGCCACCACTGGTGTGTGTGTGTCTGTTTTTGTATGAATAATGAGGCATTTTACCGAATCTGGCACATCACCGACTCACCTGACAGACACACACATTCAGACAACACACACCCGCTGGCACAATGCAGCCCTTCAGGGATCAATTATCACTTGCTCGTGTCTTTATCACACACACACACACCTGTTTTCAAAAACTAAGATGTGAAAGCACATTTTCACAATGCCACATCACAGAAAGCTATCTCCGGCAACAGCTACACAAACACTACAATAGTCTTTATGTTAATGATGGGCAGACTCACACCTTCACCAGTCCACGCTGCAGAGATCACTTGTTGATTTCTCACTCTTCTACCCAAAGATTCCACCTATAACTTATGTTTCACCATATTTGTGCTCATTTTATTGGTTTAATTTGGATTTACATTGAATTAAAATCAATTTTCCCTTTTTTAATGATAAAAAACTAATATTGAACATTTTACAAACTCTTGCAAAACCTGACAGATAAAGTAGATGACTGAGAATGTGCAGTTATAGTCTCAAACAGACAAATGTCATTTAAAATAGTCAGAGTTTTGCCAGAATTAATTAGGTTAATTAATTAGAATTAACTAGATGTTTTGAGGTAGTAATGGACTCTTATTTTGAAGGGCTGAAGGAAGTTATTTTTGTTTAATACTTTGTATTTTATTTCAAAACACTAAAAACCCGTTTTTAAAGACATTTCCTTAATTCGTGCCTTCAAATGGACAATTTTTTGTATATATGTATATATACATATGTACACACACACACACAGCTATTTTTTAGTTTGTGCAAAATGATGCAGTTAGCATGTTGCTCACGCATGTGCAGGTTTCTGCATGTACTTCAGTTTCTTGCCACAGAGCAGAAGGCAGATACTATTAAAGGTGCATTATGTAGAAATGAAGTAAAAAATGACATCCTGTGGAAAAATTTGGTTATTGAAACCACTTTAAATAACTCGGGAGCTTTTTGCCGGCTGTCGTCAAATTACAATTGTCGGCGCCGCAGTATTAGCTCACAGGAGACACAGCACCCCCACACTCACTGATGGTTACTCTGACAATCCCCAGAGCCAGCTGGATATGAAATAAGTTTCAGTATAACTTTCCTTCCAATGATTGAAACTGACTCTTTTGGGATTTTCTCATTGTAAAATTATCACTATATTCTTACATACTGCACCTTTAATCACTGTAATTAGCTTTCACCTGTTGACACAAATTTCTTGTTTCCAATCACTGGGAGACGTCACATGATCTGTTTTTCACCATCAGGTCGACACACCAGACCCACGGTGAATCCACCCAGAGTTCTGAGCATGCTGAAGCAATCATGACCTGGCATAAGGTCCATGTACAAAAATCAATTATTCATCTGGAAGGTAGAGGAGAGGCGGCCCATCTGTTGAGGGGAGCCATCCTGGCTGACTTACTGAGCTGTAGGACGTGCTGATGCGTAAAAATTATCCAACCAGGAGCTGCTCTGTAACTCAGATCAGTCAAAGAGTACTAAAAACAGCATCTACGTATTTACTTTGTGATTTCATAAAAAAGATGATTCAGGTTTGCTCTCTGCAGATCGACTTTTAGCCTTCTTTTTATGCCCATGAGGCAGATGTGTAGGGGACAAAATTGCCAAAGGATCACAATTTACTGTCAAATTCATCCAAACATCCCAAACAAAAGAAAAACCATTTAAACTTTTAGCTGTTGGACTTATTTGTAAAGAAATACTAATTATTGAGCTACAGTGACCCCTATGGGGTGTGTAATGTTTTAACACACCTCACTTGTCAAACTACAGGGTGAAAAAATGTTATGAAAAAAATTGTAAATTAAAGTGAAAATTTTAAATTGTAAAAAATAAAAGCATTTACTTGCAACTTACAAAAAATGGTCTTGAATCCAAAATGCTTTTAATTTGTTTTAAAGCTTAAGTTTCAGAAGAACTTCCTCCAAACCACCATAATTTAGTTTTACTTTAAATTACTTAGTAAAATGTTTGATAGTTTTTAATAACTATTACTTATAAAATCTGCTTCATTCTAACACTTAACACGCAAAAATGAAACTGTGCTGCCATCTAGTGGTGAAAAGGTGAATATTCAATAAGATTAAGTCTGTTGCTGTTTCACCATCTGGGTTTTAGATTTTGGGGACAAATTATTAGGATTTTAATAAAGCAGGAACTTATGATCAGTGGGACATTAAATATTTCTTTAGAAAACCAAACATTTACTTATGAAAACCTTTTTTTAATTCTGCAGATTTTGACGTTTAAGAAGCAAATAGTAAGATTGTCTCTTAAAAATAAAGAAATAAATGTCTAAATGTCTTATAAAGCTTGTTAAGATATACATTTGTTGAGATTTTTAATCTTAAACTTTACAAATAGGCACCAGCCCAGATGTTTCTCCTTATCCATGTAAGATGCTGATATGACCTCTCCAGATGACAGACACCTCTGTCCACTCCTTGTGAAACTTCCCCAGATTCCTGAATGAACTTTTCTCCTTAATCGTCTCAAGGCTGCAGTTCTCCTCGTGGCTGGTTCTATCTAAACTTTGTCCTTCCAGCAAACCAATCAGCTGTTGTACTGGACTTATCTTTCTTTTTGAGGGAGTCCATGACTGTCTTCTGGACTTGTGTGCAGACAGCAGTCTTGTCCATGATCCTGTAAACTTCTAACCCAGACAGAACATTTGGAGGCCAAGGAAACCTGTGCAGGTGTTTTGAGTTAGTTAGCAAATTAGGGTGAAACACCGTGCATGAGTTAACCACCTTTAACTTTCTCCACAACAGTCAGATTTTCTGTTTTCTTCATCTGTAAGCTTCATGGTGGCCCTGCTGCCTTGAAGCAAGGATAAGGGTTGGAACCCTGGCTGCTGCCTTCCTGTGTGGAGTTAGCATGTTGCCCATGTGTAGGTGTTCTGCATGTATTTCAGTTTCCTCCCACAGACCAGAAACATGCATGTTAAGTTCATCAGAGACTTGAAATTATACCAAGTTGTGACTGATTGTCTCCATGTGTCCCTGTGATGGACTGGAGAACTGTCCAAGGTGTCCCTCGCATCTAGTCCAGTGGCTACAGAGAGAGGAGAGCGGTTAAAAATAACGAACCTGTAAGTCCTAATCATGAAAATGAAAAGAAACTAGGCTTGAAAGATGAACAAGTTCATAAAATTTGAGTTTCACCTTCAGAAGGTGTGGGAAACTTGATTAATACATTTGCAGTGGTCTCGGGTAGGAATGAATGCCTTGCAAGCTGTACTCGGGGCAAAAAAAGCCCAGAAGCGCCTGGATCAGCACGGACAAGTCTGCTGCTGCAGAGTGGCACAAAACGGCAGGATTTGGAGTGGTTGGATAACAGCAACACAATTCCACCACTGATGCCGTTTGCTCTGAAATATGAATGTTTTATCACTACAAATAAGTCTGGAGGAGCCGTGCGGTTGAATTGCTAATGGTTAGTTTCTGCTAGCCAAGACATGTTCTGCTGTTTCCTGGACACTGAAAACAACAACCTTCCTCATCTCGAGTCGAAATGGGCCGAGTCCAAGCAACCACCTGATGTAGATCTGTCAGGATTTTCAAATCCTAGAGTTTCACCGTCTATTTTCTATCAGAAGCTAATGCAGGAGATAAGTTTAGGAGACTATTTTCGTCATACACAACAGCCATACACAACAGTTAGAAACAGACTAGTGTACCCAAAAGACAAAATATCAGCTGGACAAAAATGTGGAGTCATCTACGAAATCCCATGCAAAATATGCAATAAAACATACATAGGAGAAACATATGTACAGTCTATGGAGAAACCGGACGCCAACTCAATACACGGACAATAGAACACAGAAAGGAGTGCGAGAAAGAGGCAAATCGAAAACATACACAGCAAAAGAAGAAGCAGAAAGTACAATAAAAAAGTCAGCCGTAACAGATCATTGCTTAAGAGAAAACCATATAATGGACTGGGACAGCACACGGATCATAACCACTGAACAACAAAAATACAAAAGATGGATCAAGGAAGCAATAGAGATAAGGAGACGTGGATGTGGGACCATGAACAGGGACGACGGAGTTTACACGCTGGACCACGCATGGGACTGCATCGTCGGAGAGGGGAGAGCGGGCAGTAGAGGGCGACAACGTCCTCTGCTGCCCGCAGATAAACGGAGAAGGAAGTGACGCGCCACCATCAGCGTCAGCCTGAAGAAGCCGGCAGCTGTCGGCGAAACTGTAGCTACAAACAGGTAAACAAAACTGTTTCTGTGTTTAAAAAGAACGCAAGCATGGGACTATTTTCGTGTTCAGCCTGCATGAAAAACTCAAGAGTGACAGATTAGAATCAGAAATAATCATTAAATAGTTTTTCAGTGTTCCACAACTTAAAACTATTCATAACAATTTTATTAGTCTTGTTTTGCATCAATTCTGTGAATTTGTGGCAAAACCTTGGACCAGAAAACTCCTGAAACATTTTTTTGTTCTTCTCAGTTTAAATGTGAACGTCACTCAGGTTCATGTTTGTCGTAGTAAAAGTTTAAAAGGACTTCAGTGGGGCAGGAGCTTCTTTTATACATAAAACATACATCCAACCCGCTTTTCCACGCAGGGTTGCGGCAGGCTGGTGCCTAGCTCCAGCTCCTTGGGCAAACAGGCGGAGTACACCCTGGACAGATTGCCAGTGTACATGAAACGACGAGAGTAATTTGACATTTTACATGACATCACAATTTTGAACATTAAAGGGATATTAAAGTTTAAAAAAGTACAAGAATAGACTGTTTCCTAGTGTAGCAGACTTTACTCATTCATGATCATTTAAACCAGAAAACACTTTATAGAAAACAGCATCTGAAACGGCTGCCACCGTTTTTCTACTGCGTTTGCATTTAGAGACCATCACCAGGAGACCATCAGTAGTACGCTTCCAACATCTCCTCAAAAACACAGAAGACTATAGCCGGTCTGCAGCTCATCTACGGCCGTAACGGAACACGTTGGGACAAACACTCGAGTATAAATACAGATATCTGCTACGGCAAGACGACAGGAAAACCGCCGTCTGTTGTTTGTGGGAATAAAATCATCAGACTTAGACTACATAAAAAAACGCATTCATGACTTCATCTGTACAAAATCTACTTTCATCTACTTCACAGGGTTTCCTCCAGTGCTGATGAACACATCTGAACTTGTTACTGAGATGTTGGAATACATTCATTTACAAAAGGCAGGTAAGAAAAAGTGGTCCCAGCTTTTACCAAATTTAAAACAAATGCTTGAAACTGAGGATTAAAAAGCAGCAAAAATTAATTTTGAATAAAAAGGTAAAATTTACAGGATAAAAGTTTATGTTTCTTCTCACCGCTGCAGTGGGAGTTTAAATTCAAATACAAAGATAAGAGCACTCCAGGATTGGTATTAAATCTGTAAAGAGTCCAGTGTAGGAAAAATAACCCAGTGTAATTTTATAATCCAGTGGTTGAAACAAACTTCTAAAACTATTAAAAAAAAAAAAAATGGTTAAGATTCTGCTGGTTTTTATTTTAAGTTTGTGTCTCTTCTCGAAAAATCTTCAGTCCTTCATTCAGTGTTTGAGAAGCTCTACGTGCGAATCTACTTCCAGAGATCCAGTGGTACTAAAAATAAATCTGATATAATTCAGCTTTACGTGAGAACTTATGTCATGAGCTCTGCCTAATCCCAACAGGTGATGCTGATGATGGAGGAGAGCTCTGATGGACTTGGATGAATTTAGTAGGTGAACAGAATCAAAGCAACGTTTGGTTCTGTGGTGGGTCCGAGCCTCGCGTTGCTGCCTCCTCCAAGTCTGAATATTGCCACGACAGCGGCATTTCGCTTCATCAGAGCTCCGTGGTCAGGAGGCCTCTGGGTTTGGTTCCATCCTCGGAGTTCGGTGGCTGAACCGCAACGCTGCAGGAGACAGGAGAGCAAATCTCTTATTCTTTACACTGTTTATCAGGAATACGTTCTTTTGTTGTTTTCACATAAGTTTGTCACAAGCGAAGGGACCTTTATGGAAACGTTAAAAATTTGAAGTTAGAACGGTTACCTGGTGGGGATGGCATTCCGGGTCTGTGCGAGGTGGGGAGGGGTCGGGGGGAGAGATGCTCCTCCATCAGCAGGGAGGAGAAGAGGGGAGATTTTAGACTGGGGCTCTACGTCGATCAGGCCGTTAGCGAGGATCCCCGGAGGCTGCAAGGAGCAAATCGTGTCAGATCTTTTATACAAGAAACTTGATAACAGATGAAAGGGAAGTGAGCTCACAGCGGATGCAGGAATGATCCAGCGAGGTGTGATGACAGGCTTAGGCTGCTGCACTGACAGGACCTTCAACACAAAATAACAAACACGCATATGTGTGATCATGTGATGGGAAATCGGGTCCGATCACGTGATTTTCAGGAAATCGGAATAGTGGGAAAAATCGGATTTAACCATATAAAACAACAAACATAACTTAAGGTAGTCCAGGAGTTCACACACCTCAACGTGTAGCAGCTAGCTAACAGAGCATCGTCTCCTCAAGACAGAGAAGATGTCTGTAATTTGGATGCATTTTTAAATGAACAGCAAAGGGCGTGTAATAAACATGTGTAATGTGTAGCCTGGTCTGCCAGGCTCGTCCGGTTTAATTCTGCACAGAGAGAGAGTCTGGTAACTCACAGGCAGAGAGGCCCCTGAGGGGCGGGACTAGGCAGTTCAAAAACAACCAATCAGAAATGCCGACTGTACCGCGCGACGCTGTAGTTTTTTAGCTGTAGAAAAAAAAAGGCACCTGGCAACGGGGTAAACATCTTTTATTCTTTTAGAAGAAATGCTTTTAGAGCTTCTACTTGTTGTGGTTTTAAAGACATTCAAGTCATTTAGAACAGAGGAAAGAGCCGCAGCGAACTCCGCTTCAGTCGCCATGTTTATGACAAACTCTGCGTTAAGGTTTGCGACGTACGATACTCAGCGCTGATTGGCTCAGTTAGAATTTGCATGGGGTGGGGTTATTTGAACAGGAGAGTTCCCAGACCCTTTCTCTTTAGTAAATGAAACAGAGAAGGAGTCTGGCAGGCCAGGCTATGTAATGTGTGCTGGGCATTTAGTGAGGTAGAATGGTAGTGCTGCATTCAACTCTGATGAGCCTCTGAATATTTACCACACTGGATGAGCATCTGTGGTTGCACAAGTCTGGTTCTGCAGGCTCCTTGAGTCGCGGTATGATCCGCTTTCTCTTTCTACTTTTACAGACGCAGCAGCTCCACAGGAGTTTGGTAAAAAAAAAAATGTTACTCTGCTGCCGACCATCATGTGCTGTACAATCGCTGTCGCTGAAGCTGCACACTGACTAAACCATTTTAAATTAGCTAAAAGGCTACTTTTACATTTATTCTCAATTTTAACACGTTTCTTATTCATTTAAATGGTAATAAATTATTTTTACATATATTAATATTAACACGTTTCTTATTAATGTACTTCCCGAACGAGGGATGTATTATAGCAGATAAGCTAAAGAAATAACAAATACAGAAAGAAAGAAACACATTAATGAATTAAAAACAACTCTAGTGCGTTCTCTTTTTTCTTAATGAGTTTGTAAAGTATCGGATCGGGACTCAGTATCGACAGATTGTTAAAATCAAAAGACTCAGAATCGGATCGGGAGCAAACAAACGTGACTGGAACTTCCCTTTAATAAACCTTCACTTACAGGAGGAGTCGGATCGGTGAAGTCGATCAGGTTTTCAGACGGAGGAGAAGAGCTCTGCAGGTCAAACTCCTCGGCTTTACCCTGCAGCAACAAAAGCAATAAACACCAGGCCATAGGAAGGTAAACACTAAGGGTTGGGACGAGACTTTTAAACGATTTCCATGTTGTTCCAGTTACCATCGGTAACAGAAAGAGAGAAACGTGCTTTACGTGTTACCTTTGGAGCCGAACCTTCACAGGCAGCAGGAATCCTGGAAACAGAATCCTCGGCTATCCTCTCAGCACTACAAAAGAAGGAATGAGACCACAAACAAGTAAACACGCATTGCAGTAATATTATATTTTAACACCCAAATTGCTAATATTCATAATTTCATAAAGAAACACCTTCTCATATAACATAAAAATTATTAGAAACATCCTTCATAAAGGCGTGTTAGTCGACAGATTTGAGTTTTATTGTTTAAATTGGTCAATAGAAAGAGATTTGTTGATTTAGGACCTTTTACTCTCTCCAGAAGGAAGGAGACAAACAGCCTGATAATGACAACATAAAACGCACCAATGAACCCAGAAGCATGCAGCGTTTGCGAATTGTTCGCTCAAGCGTGAATGAATGTGTCTATTGGTGTCACTCTCCACAGGCAGTATCCAGGCAGAAATGTAACTAAACACACACACACACACACACACACACACACACACACACACACACACACACACACACACACACACACACACACACACACACACACACACACACAATTCTCAAACACAGTGACAGATGTCAGCAAAGACTAGAAACAAACACTAGTGAGTCTCCTGTGGATCACGGTATGCTATGGTAGTAATAAGTTATACTTATACTCGATAAAAATGAGTATTAGATATTTTATCATCTGGGATGAAGACATTTCTATTAAGGACGTCATTTAAACTCCAAAAATGTGATTACTCTCCATTTTATATTAAAACCCCATAAACTGTCAAAACATAAATGGGGGCTCATCCGGGATTTGACCTCTTGCACTCAAAGCAAGAATCGTACACCTAGAAGACTCATGACAAAGAGAACCCTAACAAGAGGAACTGGACCCCCATGTTTCAAAATGCATGTTGTAGACTTTTATTGTGAAGGATCGAAGGAAGTTCTCAGAGTTCTGCTATGGATGCTGTTATCCAAAAAATGGCACCATGCATTTAATGGAACAACATTTTTTTGGGATAATCAGTAAGAACACCATCATAACCTTTCAGTCACAATAATAATGACAAAAATATTTTTCCTTAGAAATAGAATTTCTACTTTTTCCTTAAAATTTCTTCATGGTGGCACTAATAAAGTCAATCAATCAATCAAGTTTATTTATAGAGCACTTTCCACAACCCTGGGAGGAGATCAAAGTGCTTAACATAAGACTGAAAAATAAAAACCATAAAAAATAAAATAATTTTAAGATAACATGAAATATATATATACATACATACACTAGGGATGAGCGAGTACACCACTATCTTTATCTGTATCTGTTCAACCAACTAAATTATCTGTATCCGTATCTGTACTCGGAATGGGCGTGGCATAACCCGGAAGTGGGCGTGATTTAACCGGAAGTGGGTGTGGTTTACATCAATATATTATTTTAAGTCTGAAATTGATATGGATTGATCAGAAGTTGCTATGTGTATAGTTTATTTGAAAACTATTTACAGAGCAACCTCAGAATTTAGATTAAATATTTTTGATCACAATAGTAAAGGAATTATTACAGAACAAGTTTTTCAATAAAACCAGAACATTAATATTTAAGTGCATGGATTAATACATCTGAACTCATGCAGTAGGAACTAGGAAATATGAAATGCTAGAACCAGACACAACTTTATATATATATATTTTTTTTAATTTGATTAAACTGATTTTTTTCTTAACGTTCTTGGCATTTTGCCCCACACACAAAGTTAAACAAAACAATATGGATTGAGGTGTGTGTGTCTGAGAGCTAGAGAGGGTGAGCGGGAGAGAGAGGGAGTTAAAAAAAAAAACCCGACCGGAGCGGAGGTGACTGATGCAGCACGTCAGCTCTGTCTTATCAAATGCACCATGTCAGTTACGAAAAAGGTAACTTTAAATATTCGACCGAAAAAGAGGCGAGCTGAAGAAAACCTAGGGAAAACTGAAGAAACGTGAGCAACAGTGAAGCAAGCACAAGATCTGTTACTGTGTGCGTGCGTGGATGAGCCGGACGGACTGCGCTCCCGGCCGGCTAGAGTGTTTTGTGTGTAGGGAGGGGCGGGCGCTCTATGTGACTGGCCAATCACAGAGCGTGAAGACAGTCAGTTACCCAATGAGGATTTTCCTTCAACACGATTACAGATATTTACGAGTTTTACTCGTGTCATGCTCGTACTCGTCAAAAATGCTTTATCCGTACCGGATACTCATCTGAAACGAGTATCCGGCTCACCCCTAATATATACAAATATACACACACACACACACACATATATATATATATATATATATATACACACACACACACACACATACATATATATATATATATACATGTATATGTATATGTATATATATATATATATACATATACATGTATATGTATATATATATGTATATATATATATATATATATATATATATATATATATATATATATATACATGTATATGTATATATATATATATATACATATACATATACATGTATATATATATATATATATATATATATATATATATATATATATATATATATACACGCATATGTATATATACATATATATATATACATACATATATATATACACACTTACATACAGTGGGGCAAAAAAGTGTTTAGTCAGCCACCAATTGTGCAAGTTCTCCCACTTGAAATGATGACAGAGGTCAGTAATTTACAACATAGGTACACTTCAACTGTGAGAGACAGAATGTGAAAAAAATCCTTGAATTCACATGGCAGGATTTTTAAAGAATTTATTTCTAAATAAGGGTGGAAAATAAGTATTTGGTCACTTCAAACTTCAAACAAGGAAAATCTCTGGCTCTCACAGACCTGTAACGTCTTCTTTAAGAAGCTTTTCTGTCCTCCACTCATTACCTGTATTAATGGCACGTTTGAACTCATTATCTGTATAAAAGACACCTGTCCACAGCCTCAAACAGTCAGACTCCAAACTCCACTATGGCCAAGACCAAAGAGCTTTCGAAGGACACCAGGAAAACAATTGTAGACCTGCACCAGACTGGGAAGAGTGAATATACAATAGGCAAGCAGCTTGGTGTGAAAAAATCAACTGTGGGAGCAATTATCAGAAAATGGAAGACATACAAGACCAATGATAATCTCCCTCGATCTGGGGCTCCACGCAAGATCTCATCCCGTGGGGTCAAAATGATCATGAGAACGGTGAGCAATAATCCCAGAACCACACGGGGGACCTGGTGAATGACCTGCAGAGAGCTGGGACCACAGTAACAAAGGTCACCATCAGTAACACACTACAACGGCAGGGAATCAAATCCTGCAGTGCCAGACGTGTTCCGCTGCTGAAGCCAGTGCATGTCCAGGCCCGTCTGAAGTTTGCCAGAGAGCACATGGATGATACAGCAGAGGATTGGGAGAATGTCATGTGGTCAGATGAAACCAAAGTAGAACTTTTTGGTATGAACTCAATTCGTCGTGTTTGGAGGAAGAAGAATACTGAGTTGCATCCCAAGAACACCATACCTACTGTGAAGCATGGGGGTGGGAACATCATGCTTTGGGGCTGTTTTTCTGCTAAGGGGACAGGACAACTGATCCGTGTTAAGGACAGAATGAATGGGGCCATGTATCGTGAGATTCTGAGCCAAAACCTCCTTCCATCAGTGAGAGCTTTGAAGAAGAAACATGGCTGGGTCTTCCAACATGACAATGATCCCAAACACACCGCCCGGGCAACAAAGGAGTGGCTCCGTAAGAAGCAGTTGAAAGTCCTGGAGTGGCCTAGCCAGTCTCCAGACCTCAACCCCATAGAAAATCTGTGGAGGGAGTTGAAAGTCCGTGTTGCTCGGCGACAGCCCCAAAACATCACTGCTCTTGAGAAGATCTGCATGGAGGAATGGGCAAAAATACCAGCTACTGTGTGTGCAAACCTGGTAAAGACCTATAGTAATCATTTGACCTCTGTTATTCCTAACAAAGGTTATGTTACAAAGTATTGAGCTGAATTTTTGTTATTGACCAAATACTTATTTTCCACCCTGATTTACAAATAAATACTTTAAAAATCCTGCCATGTGAATTCATGGATTTTTTTTCACATTCTGTCTCTCACAGTTGAAGTGTACCTATGATGAAAATTACTGACCTCTGTCATCATTTTAAGTGGGAGAACTTGCACAACCGGTGGCTGACTAAATACTTTTTTGCCCCACTGTACATATAAACATACATACATAGATATATATAAAAAAATTATGTGATCTTAAATTCTCTCTCTCACACACACACACACACACACACACACACACACACACACACACACACACACACACACACACACACACACACACACACACACACACACACACAGAAAAGCCCTATTAGTAAAAAAAATTACTCAAGTACCACATTCAAGTTCTTTTCATCATTGTCAAGACCTTACAACACAGGAAATATCTAATAATCAGATTATGTTTAATAAACAAAAGGGTTTAGAAGTTCTCTTGTGAGTTTACGCGGCCCAGAGACGTTTAAACAGACCTGACTGCTGCCGACGAGCTGAGTGAGGCTGGGTTCACCAGCTCCCAGGAATCCTGGACATCGGGTCGGCTGCTAACAGAAAGAGACGAGTTACTTCCTGTTCGGCCAGCAGGAACCTTCAACCTGACCAACACACGGAGAGTGGAACGTGTGTGTGTGTGTGTGACAGACTTATCTAAAAACAAAATGTGAGATGAAATGAACATTACCCTACTGAATCCTAATTTTTTTTAAACATGTTTACTGATCCTCCATTTACTCTAAAAGGTAAATATATATTCCTAAACCTCTCGGCTGTGTACAGGTTTAGCAGGTACATATGTGGGGTTTGTTATGAGGACCGACTGAAAGTGACGTAATATTGTCATGAATATTTAAGAGTTTAATCTGCTCTAACAACAGGGAGTGTGAGATTGGCTTAGAATGACTCAGAGCATGACTCTGTCGGATAAAGGAGGTGTGTGTGCGTTTGGTTTCATACAAAACAACAAATAAAAACAAGTTTCTCTGTCTTTCCACTGCCAAAACGTGTATTTCCACACTCTTACCTGGTGGGAACCTCCTGCAAGTTGCAGTTCTTATCTGTAACGACAGGCTCCTCTAAATGACCCTGAGAGAAAAAGTACAAAAATCAAGGGGAAAGGGAACTCAGAAACCATCTAGATGCACGGAATATGGTATCCGTCAAATAATAATTGATCACAGTTCACCTGTAACTGACAAAGACTTGTGTTTTTAAAAGAGTTCTAAGTTAAAGCCAACAGAGTATGAATATACCGGCCGGTACCCTTTCCCTCAAATCTGTGGTTTCTGTTCCCCACCTTCAAGGCAGCAGCTTCTGCTTGGGCCTTCAGGATGTTGCTCTTGATATCCTCCGGGGGGCGCAGTGGAGTCACGACGGGGCTGCTGCCTGAACTGTTCAAACTGCATTTCTCTGTGAGCTTCACCACATCATCCTGTCAACAGTGGAGTCAGAAGTTAAATCCTCACAGCCGACACGGAAAAGGCACCGACTGATGGTTTTAGGGGAAATGGGCACTCGCATGGACGTAATTTTGGGGGGGGGGGGGGGGGGGGGGGGGATATGTCCCCCCACTTTTTCCAAAGTCAAGTTTTGACCCCTGCACTTTTTACCATCCAAAAGCAATATTACTTTATATTAAATTGACACTGGTTGAGCTCTAGGACCAAGTAGAAACGTTTGTGTTGAAGCCTGTTTCCCATTAGAACATACTGTAAAGATCTCCCCCCCGTGTCCCCCCACATCTAAAGTGAAAATTACGTCCATGGGCACTCGCCTGGTTGTTCATGGCTACATTGACGTTGATGTTGTTTCTCGGAGTAGCGGGAAGGAGGCTGCCCTCCAACTCCAGCTGCTTCAGACGAGCTGCTGCTTCTGAAATCACACGGGATGGAACACTTTTAGTTTATTTAAAAAGACATTATCAGGGTTTGCTCATGAAGACTCACCCGCGAGACTGAGAGGATCCTCTGCAGCAGCGTAGGCAGTGCTCAGGCCGATCTCCTCTGCAGCCGTCGCCGGAGGAACCACAGCAGCCGCAAGCACGTCGTCGATGCACGTCTCCATCAGATCGGCCACAGCAGGCAAGCTGGAAGTACAAGAGCAGGAAGCACAAACAGGAAAACACTTCAAACTTACCCAAAGATGAAAGATTTTCAAGACATAAATAAAAATTAAATCTAAATGTTGCTGCTTACCTCTTTCCCCATAACAAACTCAGCAGCGATGGTAAAAGCTAGCCCCTTTTTGCTAACATGCATCTCCCAGCATCCCACAAACAAAATCAGAACAATTCTAATAAAAACAAATACATTTAAGCTGTTCTTAAGTCACACAGTGAAGTAAAAACAACACGGTGATATTAAAGGTGCCTGAAGCTAAATATTTCATGTGCAAACTTTGTTGAAAGCTCCTCCAGAAGCCTGGAATAAAGTTTGGTGCATTATTCTGTATCCTGTCTGAAGAAAGCCAGGGTTAAAGGTTAACATGAATAAAAAAACATTTACAGGAACAAAAATTAAAAACAAACCAAAAAAAATAAACCACAAGAGAACTCTAAAGAAACAAAGTTTCATTAATTTTCTTTATTCTCAGATATAATTTAAGGCAGAAAGCTACACATAAGAGTTAAATCACCTAAATAAGTGAATTATCTTTAATTCTTCACATAAAACTGAAGAAGCTTCGACAGATGAAACAAACAACACTAAAACCTGACTGTGATTTATTGCTATATGACAGAAGTTGGACGAGATGCTTCAATTTCTGATGTTTGGGCCAGAAAACGGCAGCTGAAGATAAAACGTCCGACTTTCAGCATTTCTGAAATAACTCCAAGAATCAACGCTGACCGGATTTGGAATGTCGGGAATGTAGTTCTGCTCTGCTGCTCACTTTTGTTCGTGTTTGTTTACTGAAGACAAACAGCCCTCTTATCCAGCTCCCTTCAAAACAGAAGCTTGAAATGTAGAAAAAATAAATCATTTATAAAAATTAAAAATGGTCTAGAATTTAGAGGCAGTATTAAATAAGGTGGCGCTCATCAGTTACAAATGTTAAACCACTGTAAAAATAAATAAAAAAGTCCGTCTTCATGCAGAAACGGTTCAGAAACCACAGCATTGTGCAAAAGTCTCGAGCCATCCTTCATTTCATCGTTTTTTACTTCCAACGAGTCACTTGAGATCCTTCAGCTTTGGTTTTGATTATTCATTTAAAAGAATTTCATTTTCAGCCTTCAGATTTAAAAAGGCTCCTAAACTTAAAGAACCAGAGTAGTGTTGATAAATGATATTGGCAAAAAAAATAAATAAAAATTGTTTGAACTAGATTTTCAGGATCACAGAGTCAGAAAAACAATAACTTCTGTAAATTACAAGTTTGAAGAATAAAAAAATAATAATTTTAGCACCAACAAGAGAGATTAGGTTAAATAATAATAGGAATAATCAACTGTACTTTAAGCTGTACTGGTCAGGTACTGGACAACGAGCCAGCAGATCTGTAACCTTCAGTGTTGTTTTCTCAAGCTCTGAGAGTAAAATGAAATTCCTGAGCCTTCTACTGATACCATCTGAGCCCAGCCAGCCAGTTTCACCAGGAGGTTGGGAGGAAAGGTCGGAGAACAAAAAGCTGGACAGGAAAAATAAAGTTTGGAAAAGGAGGGAAAAAAAAAGGACTTCAGCACTTCTTTTGTTTAATGGACAAGAAATGAACCAAGATGTTGTGAAGAGGGAAGGAAAAGTGATGGTGGGCTTTAAAAGAAAATGTCTCAGGGCAAAGTTGGTTTCATCAGTGGCATCGTGTCAAAGTTCTCCAAAACTCTATAGGATCACATTAATAAAGTCGTCATTACAGGGAGTCTGAGTGTTGTTGGTAAAGCCGGATGAGCCCGGCTCCTCGGTGTGAGCTCTGATGAGACAGGGTCAGGGTGGATGGGTGGATGGGTGGAGGAAGGTGGAGACCTGAAGGACAACATGGTGGAATAAATGGTGAAGAGCAAATGAGACAAAAAATTAATAAATAAATGAAAAAAAAGAGTGAATTTTGGGGTAAATCAAAAGCAAAAAGGAAGGAGGAGGAATGAATTAAATGGGAATTTAAAAGAAAAGAAGTTTATTCAGCAAAATGTGCAGATTTTTTATAATTATTTGGCTTAAATCATGCTTTCCATGTTCACTTTTGACTATTTAAGTTAGTTCAATTTGACACAGGCAGTTGGGTTTTTCTACCATAAAATAAAATGAGCATCAGCTCCTCTTCACGGTTCCATAGGCACGTTTGAAGACCCGCAGTGTAAAGGGTCTTCTCTATATGTGCACCGAAACGCTGGACCTCCGCAGGTTAGACAGGCGCCTTCAATCGCCGCTTTCAAATCTCGTCTGAAAACACACTATTTTTCCTTAGGTTACATCTCAAACACGGTTCTAGTATTACGCACACAGGTTTACCTCCCCTCCATCTTGGCTGCTTCATTTTACATTAGTAGATTCTATGCTTCTAATTGCCTGTTTGGTTTTTATTTCTGTACTATGTGATTATTTAAGTTTGTTTGTTTTAAATGTGCATCGCTTTGGTCAGTTATAATGATGTGTTAGAAGCGCTCAACAAATAAAATGGATGGCAAAGCAGCCAACTCTCAAACTGGAGCTAGAGTTGGTCCAGGAAAAGTAATATCCTACAGTTTTAGAGTTACTGTTGCAAAAAAATTATACTAAAGTCAGAAGCTTCCTGGTGATTCACCTTAATTTTAAAAACAGTGTTTCATATTTTATGAGGAAATGGAAGAAAATGAACAAATGAGGGAAACAGTCGCAGGACCTGAGCGCGGAGACGTCAGCATTGTACAAAAACATCACAATTACTTTTATGAATTAAAGAATTTGTGCAGAATTAGTAACGTTTCATTCCAATTGTGAAGACAATGCTTTCATACATGTTTAAAATAACAAGAGTAAACATTTAACCAAACCTTTAGTTGAAAATTTTGACTGGAATCTGTCTGAATCAGACATGTTACGTTAAATGGGTTCAATATTAGAGGGATTAATACTGTTACAATAAACCAGCCGCTCCATGCAAGAGGATGAGCAACAGAGGCAAGAGCTAAGATTTAAAATGAGAGAAAAATAATAAATAAATAAAAAGCAGAGATAAGCCAATATTTTTAATGACTAGTATTTACTTTTTTTTTTATTTAGTTGTAATTTTAAGGAAATAAAAACATTTGGGGAATTCTTTTGGCAGAAATCTTTATGAATAAATCTTTAAATTAAAATCTTGTGCTAAATAATAGAAGGATGTCTCGTTTAAAGATATGACATGCAAAAGCAGAGGTCCTGAAAGAAAAACATGATTTAGGATTTTTTTTTTTTACTTAAAAGGTTTAGAAGGGCTTAGAGCGGAGCAGGTGGACAGAAAGCAAAGAGGACATTAGAGGACTGAACATGAAGACGCCCACAATCTAGAAGAACCCAAAGTCCTGAAACAGAAAAGATAAGAAGCAGAAATCGTATCACGTCACTGATTCATGCCAACGAAAACAAAACTTCCACACAGCATCCCAAATCACGGCACCGCTTCCACCACCGATTGGGTTGGCATTTCATGCTGATCCGAAGTGGACACGCGTGTCCGCCCAGAGGGAAATCACAAAGCCCGCTACAGCACAGCGACTGATTGGTCAAAGCCAGAGCGGCGTCGAGGAGCTTACCTACCCAGCTATCAAGAGCCTCAGTACATGTTAATACTGGAATAAACAAGGGAACAAGGTGAATTTATTACACACAGAAACAGCTTATGCATGAAAACATCTTTAACATGTGAAGAGAAATGTACAAAACAAAAACCCGAAAGTGCAAAAAGAATTAAGGATGACCAGAAAAATGAAATCTACAGTCTCTCTGGCCTTCCTTCTGCCGTCCTTTCTCCAGCTACAAGACAGGGCGAGTGGATAAGCCACGCTAAGCCAATCACGTGGATTAGAGCATGAAAAAACACACCTAACCACCCACCCACTTCTCTCAGCACCCAGCAGGCACCAGTCAGCCTGGAACAACTGTTTCTAATCTGGTTTTGTTTTCCCCTCATAGTTATTGAGCTACAAGCCTCCGCTCACATTTAGAAAAAAACAGGAGTTAAAAACTCAATTTATTCATGTTCTCATAGAACCAAAAAGAAAAGATTTAAAAGTACAAACCCTCTTTTCTCTCCTCCAGGACTTCGGGGTAGAGCCTCTATTTTGATTGGTCCACAGGAGGAAGCTGCCACTGGGCCGACCACAGGAACACCAGACCAGACGCCTTTATTGGGATTAACCTGAGGGAAGAGAAACAAAAGAGAAATTATTTAGAGAATTTGTTTAACGTTTCGCTACCCTGACAGAATCAAGCCGGCTGCTCCTCACCTTGTCTTTACTCGAGCCGACTCCATTGCCTGAAGAGAAAAGTCTGAAGAAAGAAAAACGCACATTTTCAGTTTCATCTGAAACATTTGTATTCATGTATTCATTCTAAAGCTTTTAATTTGAAATCTACTGTAAGCTAATGTGAAGAGCCTTGTTTACAGATTGATGCTCTGGCCATACACACACACACTTCTGTAATAAAAAAAAGCGTCTGTGCTGGGATTAAAGCCACGCCTTGTGACTCACAGGTTAATTTAACAGAATTTACCCAAAATTTGCCACATTTGTATTCTGTGAACTAACAAATCCACTTTGCACACGTTACTCAGCAGCAGCTAACGGGTGGGGACGGATTAAACCAGCAACACAGACAACAGAACAGCCAATTATTTAAGAAATGGTGTACTTACTCCTGAGGGTTGAATTGCCCTGTAAAACACACACACACACACACACACACACACACACACACACACACACACACACACACACACACACACACACAAAACACTGTGTGAGTTTTCTGTAATCTGAGGCACGCATAGCTACTTACAAAATGTAATTATCCCGGCAAAAGCATTAATGACTCTCTTTCTTTAAGAGATGAACTGCTGACCTAATCTCAGATAACCTGCTGCACTCTGCAGGAACGTTTCTGCGGACAATCATCTCAGTTTTGCATATTTAAAGTGATGTGTCACATTCCTTTTTCATAGATAGATTCGAGCAAGCTAACCTTTGACCTTAAAGTGGGTGAAAAAAGACAAAAGCTTCTTTTAAGTTCCTGGTTTGTTTTGGTCAAACATTCGCAGAATCGCAGCTCTTTGTGTCATCGTTATTCTAATAAACTTCATTCGTCTGAGTTTGTCTTCTCACAGGGTTAATAAACGCACTAGTTTAGCTTATATAATTAGACAAACTTAACCTAAGGTGAAAGCTAAAGCTGGAATAAATAAAGCTGTGGCATTTTAGCTTTAAGCCCCGCCCACTCGACACAAAAACCTAGATGAAAAACATAAATGAATCACAGAAAATGCTTTGTAGTCGGATTATAAAACTACAACATGGTGGCGCTCATTACAGGGTATCTGCAGGTTTAAGGGAGCCAAATTTAAGACTTTTTAAGACCTTTCTTAAGGCCACTTTGACCAAATTTAAGCCATTTAAAAAATTTTAATTTAAGCTATAATTTCCAGCTATTGCCTGGAACCGGTGCTAACCACGTCGCGAACGTGGGATTAGCCATCCAGTTACCATTAAACTTGCACTTCCCCATGGCGCAATCTCCCACTAGCTTAACCAGCTAATGTGCTCATCTAAAAATAGCCCCCATTCACAACCAACTAAATGTGTACGGTTCCGCTTACGCAACATCATACACAAAAAATGCTGAACACTAACTAGAAATTCATGAAAATTTTATAGTAATAAAAGAATCTTGTTTATCGGGTCTTTGGTAATTTAAGACCTTTGGAAACTGTATTTAATGGTTATTTGTCATTTTTAAGGATTTTTAAGTCCTTAAATATGGAAAATGAAATTTAAGACGTTTTAAGGACCCGCGGATACCCTGCATTAACATTAAAAGAGGTGGAGATTTATCATCCATCTTTATACTTTTGATGGTTCTGATTATATCAGACTTTCTCCTCTGAGATGAAGAGTGTGACTAAGATGTGTATCATCACCCCGGTTCTGTAAGGTTCTTCTCGAGTAGCGTCGACTGGGTCTCCTCTCAAATGAGGCCGAGCGCCTCGCTTTACTGGCCTTGGTCGTCTGATACTCCGTCTTTCCACTGATCACAAAAACAAAACACAAGTTATTTTATCAAAAATCAGCAGCTACTTCCAGATTGATGACCTCCGCGGAACTTTGGACCCGTCCGCGCTTCTATTGACAACAAAACCCAGCAACCCCTGTGTTGAATCAACGTTACCGCTCGTGCTTATCCAGCTGGATATTGTTTAAACACACAGAGTGGCACAAGCTGGCTACTGAGGAACTATGTGTAGTATCTGACATGCTGCATTATCAAAGTCATTTGAGGTACCTGTATCTGAAGCGTGACCCCATGCGTATGAATCCAGACCGTGCAGAGTTCTTCTGAACCGGTCCTCTCAACCTAAAGAAGGTGTGGTGTTCTACTGCACACTTCCAGAGATGCTTGCAGGCTTTGGGGTGGTCCATCCTGAAGACGAAGGTGTGCTCCTGCTCTTTGCCCTGGGGAAGATGGATGTGGGTATAGAGCAGCATTTTATTCCCAAAGCACGACCATAAACTGAAAGGAATAACTTACGTATGCAAAACTCGTTTCCTCTTAGAGAGGAATTATTAGTAAAGAATGAAGAACAGATGCTGCTTCACTAACTAGCTTAGTACTCGTAGCCTGGTTAGAAGCCTGCCAAGCAGCACAGCTAGTTGCACAATTTGTGTTGGAGCCAATCCGGCGTCAGAGTCATCTGGTGGCTTGTTAAACGTTTGTAATTCAGAAAAACAACAAACAATTTGCGGGGAGATAAAATTGTATTTTCAGTTAAACTGTTACTTTTTATAACCTGGATAGCCTTCAAACATGTGTTTAAAAAAACTGCTAAAACTGCTTTGAAAAAAAATTTTTTTTAAATGAACACACACTGAAAGGATTACTGTTGAACAAAGCAGACGAGGTGGAGTTTGTTGAGTTTTATTGATGTCATTTTTGATCCATTAAGTAATAAATGTTCCACAAATTCAAAATGAAATGGGGAAAGAATTAACCATTTCTTACTGAAACAGCCAGTGAATGGTGTTCGTTTATTCTGGGAGACTCGACTTATCGTCATCCAAAGTAAATAACACAAGGGTAACCATTTGTTGCATGTTTGCTGAGTGTGAGCTGGTGCTCACCTGATCGTCATCTTCCACCACCACAAGGGTCAGTTTGCTCTTCTTGAAATCCAGACGGGTTATCTTGGGCCTTCGGAATAAATGAGAAACATTTTAAGTCATTTAGAGACATTAAAATTATTTATTTGAATGTGTTTATTATATTGTAGCCAAAACACACCAGAAAAATAGCCCGATCTTTGTTTGGCCTTCAAACACCAGAACTCCAGTGGGCGTCAAACCCAGACTGTACTCATTACCATCTCTGGCCTGAAATATACACAAAACAAGAATATGGATATTCCACTAAACTACTCGGATAAATCTACTTGACGACTCTTAAAATAGATACAAATGAGTCATTCTTCAAATCTCTAATTCTGAATAATGCAAATAAGAAGGGTGTTGTTTACCTTCACCATGTGCATGTCTACTCCGTACATTTCTAGCCACTTGGCTTTATTCAGGTAGTTAATCTCAGCTTGTGCGGGCATCTGGCCTCTGAGAAAAAAATAATAATTAAAAAAAAAAACAGGTAAAACACAAAAAAGAATTCAACCAACTGGAGGCATAAAAACGTAATGATACAACCATTAGACAAGAATATTAAGACTATAGAATAAAGTTTAAGGTTTTACTAATTGAGTGAAATGTTAACCTGCAATCCTTCCACGCATTATAAATGGCGAGCTCCATCTCCTCCGTCTGCTCTGGGATGAAACGAAATTCTGACACCAGGTCTAGGTTATGTTCTAGTGGGTCACAGTCACCTAGTTCAGCTGGAATAAAGCAAGAATAGAGTCAGCGTTTTAAAACCTTACATTTTATTTCATACGTAAGTTTAATTTGACATATTCTGGGTTTGTAGGACTTGTTTTAGTAAATAATGACCAATAACTAATGCATAAAATAAAATGTAAATAATAATATTCTAAATAAAAAATGTTGTAAAACAACTATAATTAAAGTTGTTTCTCTGAGTAATAATAACAGGACAAAGTTAAAAGAAGAAATTATTACAGGTCCACCCAAGTGGACAGCAGGATTTAGGAGGTTAATAATTCAAACACAAAAACTAAAATAATCAGTAACTATCATTTTAGTCAGTTTATTTTCAGCCAGTAGAAAATTGAAAAAGTTAATCAAATCCCTAAGCAACAAGAGTGAAATAGCTATTAAAAGATTTCACTTAAAATCTTGGCATTTGCATTTAAAATTCAACATGGCGGACTAAAGAGTCAGATTAAAACATGTCTTTGAAAGCTTATGGCCCCGAATGTAACTCTGGAGGGAAAAAATGGGAGAATGGAGGCAGAAAACAGAGAGGGTGTTGGATTAGGGGGCCTCTGAAGAGGACTGAACACTAATGAGCTGGCACTTACCCCTCATTGTGTGTGTGCATGTGTGTGTGTGTGTGTGTGTGTGTGTGTGTGTGTGTGTGTGTGTGTGTGTGTGTGTGTGTGTGTGTGTGTGTGTGTGTCCAAGAGTCTGTGCACGCAATCTCATTCCACAAATGTCTCCAGTGACTCAGACTCTTACAAGTGCTTCTGAAATGACTAAAATGACTCCAGCAGCTACCTTTTAGAAGAAAATTAACCATGTTGCACATTCTGGCTCTTTACGGGCTCCACTTTTACTCCATGTTTTGATCTAAAGTCCCTTTTTGCAGCAAAGTCAGTTTTACTGTAATTTTCTACCATGATCTTGTCTCAAAGTTTGATCTTGCAGGAAGAGTTTTTGTGCCTCAGGGACCACAGAGGCAATGATAACAGACTCTGGTCATAAAGAGCGATGTTCAAAAGAGTTAGTCAGTTCTCTCTGGTTCAAGAGAAGCAAGCAGAAACAAACTATCTGTACGTGGTAATTGTTATTTAGACCTTTCTTTGAATATTTTAATTATGGATGTCAGATATTATCGGCCTATATTAGCACCAAAATGTAATACTGGAAATGATCAGTATCGGTTTTCACTTTGTTAATGTCACAATATTTATTTGGTGATTCTGGGGAGTGTATTTTGTTAAGAAAGATTGACCTGGCTGTATTATCAGTACTAGTACATAAGCAAAAGTTGACTTGTGGTTTAGTGCAGGGGAAGTATCTATGGGGTGTGTCCTGCTTTGCCTATTCATGGTGTTGAGGTCATCTTGGGGAATTACCTAGCTGGGGGAAATGTTTGGGCTGGTGTTCCTAACGGGCACTTTGTTGGGGCTCCTGTTTTCCAAGAAGTTCCATGAAGAGGAGCTGAGAAACTCTCAGGATCAGTTCAGACTTCTCTGGGTGCGGAAAACCTAGAACTACATCCTTAGGTACTTCTTTTTGGCCTCTGTAAAAGTGGGATGTGGCTAGTTGTCATACGTGCCAGCTGACAGGTAAACCTAATCAAACAACACGTTCTCACAGCCAAAGCATCAAAAAATGGCGCTGGGTGACCAAGCGACTGCTTTGGGAGGTGATGCGCTGTGCCAGAGCGTCATTTTTCGACTGCCGTGGTAAAACGGAGGTTTCACCAAATTCTGACCTTTACCCTCTTGCTATTTAACCTTCTCCTCACCCCCATCCTTAACCCTCTTGCGCTTTCAAAACATCCTTTTCCAACACGGTTAACGGGAAGTTCAGAATGAGCAACAGGGTTAAGGTTAGGATGGGGTACGGGGAAGGTGAAAACACAAGAGGTTAGAGGTTAAATGCCGGTGAAATGTGCGTTTTACCTCAGGCATCGGAAACCAATGCTCTGGCACAGCGCGTTGCCTCCTGACTCGTTGGGAGTCCCAACGCATTGGAAACAAACGCTTGGTCACCCAGCGTCATTTTTCGATGCTTCGGGTGAGAAAATGTGTTGAATCAAAACATTCCACCTGTTCTTTTATCTCCCATTCCTGTCGTTGAACAAACTTTTCACCATCTTTGACCAGCTCAGTGGCCTTGTGGTAGAATGTCCGCCCTGAGACTGGGAGATCAGGGTTCAATTCCTGGTCGGATCATCTCAAAGACTTAGAAAAGAATGGGACCCAATGCCTCCCTGCTTGACACTCATCATTAAGGGGTTGGATTGGGGGGGTTAAACCACCAAATGGTTCTCGAGTCCGGCTGTGTCTGCAGCTCACCGCTCCCCCAGGGGATGGGTCAAATGCGGAGAACAAATTTCGCACACACATCAGTGTGTGACAACTAATGGGACTTTATCTTATTGTTGATTGTGTTGGTCCTTTTCCATGGTTGAAGTCTAGATGTACCGATCTGCTCACTGTGATGTGTCTATTGTATCTTCCTCCAATGATCGGACAGTCACAGGTGGACCATCCTATTTGTGTGGTAAATAAGTCACAGGTTCAGGGAAATTACCCTCAGAAGGAGCTGGGTGACTCAGGGAAAAGTGAGGGTATCAGAGTCTCTTCCAGGCCAGAGGAATCCTCAAAATGTCAAAAATATGACAGACTGGAGGTTTTGTCTTTGAGATTTTATTGATTATTCACACAGCTAGTCTAACATACATTGGGGCATTTAGCATAGATATTGCAGCAGTGACTGACTCGTCTTGGTTCGTGAGTGGGCGGAGGTAGCCGGAGGCACAGCAGTGCACCACATATTATTGTATCAGCTAGCATCACAGGGTACCGCATAGTCAATAGTGATGGCTGATTCAAACTCAAATGCACACCTAACCTGAAAAGGGCACTATACTAATGGTTTTAGGTTGAATATTTAAAATTTAAATAAGATAAACTAAAATGCCAAAACAATGACTACACAATCTACAGCAGTATTAGACACTGGGTGTTTCTCAATGTCAAGGAACTTCGCCTTGATGCCTTGGTCCTGCCCCGGTTGCCTAGGAGATATGTCATCAGGAACCGCCAAGGCGTGTTCCAATGTTCATGCTCTACCAAGGCCTCTGTTCTTCATTTGTTAGCCGTTTAGCTAGCTGACCAAGGATGCACGGGAGGTGCCTTGCAGTCTGGCCTTAGTCAAAAATTTCCCAGAATACTGTGCAGTAGTTTTAAAAGGATGGCAAATCAGGAGCCAGCAGCTACTTTGAGGGCAAATTTCCTGTTTAAATGTAAGTCAACTAACTGTAGCTACCGGGCTGATATCTAAAATATTGTTTTTAGATCCAAAGCAGTTATCTATGGTTGGTTAGTTGCTTAGTATTAACTCGCTTACATATTTAATTTAATCAATATATACAAACAATAAAAAGTAAAAGCTTGTTATACATTTATATTGAAACTTACACGTATAAAATACGGCTTTACCCTACGTACCATGTGTGAAATAAGTTTGTTCCATTAGACCATTTTCTTTGACCAAGGAAGGACAGTGACCTTGCAAGCAAGGCCCCTGGCCTAGCAAGACATCGCCTTGCTAGGCGCCTCGACATTGAGAAACACCCAGTCATACAGTTCATTGGCTAAAAAGTTAATTTGGGGTTGATCTTCTCTTTAAGTGACCTAAAATTATTTTCTTTATTTGATATGAGATGGGAACTTTGCATAATTGGTATGAGTGTTTTGATATTTTTTGGTTGGCCTGTATTTGTTTTTATTGTTATGGTATCTGTTATGGTTATTTTTAGTGCTCAGCACTTTGGTCAATCTTTGTGTTGTTGTAAAGTGTTTTATAAATAAATTGCTTGCTTGTGTATATCGATATCAAAAATTAAGAGTTGGACTACATCAGTGAATCGGCTATCGGTAAAAAAAAGCTGATATTGGACATCTCAACTTTTAATAGAGAAAAATAATCTATTCCAAATATTCAAATAATTATTGACAAAAAAGACTAAGATTCAAATAAACGTACTTTTCCAAGTTCCAACCTTGAAAATCTTAAAAACTAGTGATGAAAACTTGGTCCAAAAGTAAAGGACAGAATTACTCTAAGAAACATTTGTAGGTGTTTATTTGGTTAAAAAAAAATTCCTTTTATCTTAAAGAGCAAGTCACCCCCAAATCAACTTTTTTTGCTGATAAACTATATAAATGTGTGTCTAATTGGGCTGCAGACACGTGTAGTCAATGATTTAGCGCTTTAGTGCATCTTAGTTAAAATTTAAATATTCTGCCCAAAACTGTCAGTGTTGCGCTGTTGTCAGGTAAAAACTCTGCTCTGCATTTGAATTTAAATCTGCCACCGCTATTGGCTAAGAGGTTTGCTATGATGTAAACTGGTACATTATGATGTCACAATGCCGTTGTGAGCCTGTGTGTGTGTGTATTTGTTAGCGGCTCCGCCCTCTTGTTCTGCTAGGCAACAGCATTTGTTGCATTTTTTAAACATGAAGAGGGAGTGAAGTAAGTTTCTTGTAGGGGTGACTTGCTCTTTAATGAATAACATTACTGATTAATAATTTCTCAACCCACAATAAAAATTACTTTCAATCAAACACATAAATCCAAGTTAAAATAAAAAAAAATGCTGCAGAACACGAGGGAAGTGTGATTACCTTGTAACGAGAAGGCGGCCAACTGCACTGCCGTGTCAAAGGGACACTCAAGCCTAGAAATAAAAGGGACAGTCAGAGCCTAGAAAAGTAACACACACACAAAAATCCTCCATCATTACTTACAATAAATAAAAGCACAACACAAACAAATTCTGTCCTTGTTGCTTTTACCTGATTTACCCAGCATTTAGGTGACTGCTCCCTGCCCTGTGATAACTTATCGGCTTACCCTTGACTCACCTCTAAACAGTCAGACTAGATACCCACTAAGAATGTGCTGAACAAACATGACTGGTAGCCTGAGAAACACGAGCCATCATGATAACTGTTAGATGAGATACTTTTAGAGCAGAAACGTCACCTACTTCCCACTGAGGACGTCTTGCTTTAGTTGCAACACAAACAGGTATCTAAAAGAAAAAGAAAGTGATGTTAAACATAAAGATTATTTATTTTTTTAGTATTTATGTGATTAGAAGAGTTTACAATGAAAGGTGCCAGCTACTGTAGATGTTAGTGTTCACCTGGTGAGTTCCTCGTGCAGATTGTTCGGTTCAGAAGAGTAAAACTTGACTCTCATGTGAAGGCAGTATGGTGGGCCAACTAGAAACAGACCATAATGTCAACTAAAAAGCTCTGCATTGTTATTAGTAAAGTCTTTCTAAAAGTACTACCACCTTTATGTCTTATTATCCTTATTTTGATTACTTTTGCCTTATAATTTCTTTATATTTACTAAAAAGACTGTTTTGTCATATTATGGATTTTTTTGATCATCACTTACAATAGAAGTGCCTTATGAATAACTATTATTATAAGAAATTTTGTTTCCTTACATCATGTAAATTAATCTTTGCTTTATCTTATAAAGATGCAATAGACATTTTGTCATGACTACAAAAAATGTGATTTAATCATTTAAAGACTGAAGTGTAAAAAAAGTGACAATTCATCATCTAGTGTTCAAAAATAAACAATAAATCATTTTAATTTTAATATGTAATTATATAAACAGCAATGAAAAATAAAATTGGCCCTCGCCACCTGCTGATCCTCCACCAGAGGGCAGTAAACCTGTAGAGGACTGGATAAAACAGGTTTTTGATGAAGTTACTGATTTTAAAACTCCATTCTGGATGTTTTATGTCCAGGAGTGGGTTAATAAAAAGTTGCAAAGAGTTTAAAGATGACATAAATAAGATTAAGACTAAAAAAGTTTAGTCACCTTAAAGTTGTTTATGAAAGTACATTTAAGTCATAAGCTCTGTTGTATAAAAAGGAAAAAAAATACTAATGTAGTTTTATCAGATTGTTTAAAACACCAAACGTTTCTATACTGATGATAAACTTCAACAAGATGTGCATGGTGAAGTTCCTGTTTCTAAACAGAAGCTATTACAGCTGCAGGAAAAGCATTAGAGGAAGAGTTTACAGGAAAACACTCGTCTCACACACACACAGATTCACAGTTTTTGTATTCTTAACACAGAAACTGGATTTGGGCGCCTCGTGCACCTGGACATCGTTTTACTGCCTTTCACATAGAAAACTTTCACACTCAGAGAAGAAAAAAGCTGAGGAAATGTTGATGTGACACCTACTTTTTACTTGCTTTTTTATACTTTTTGTGACATCAAGCCAGTGCTGGGGAAAGAAACAGAAACAGGTTTTATTAAGAAAAATTATATCTTATTTTTACACTGTGAAACGAGAGAGAAATCTAGTTTACTATGTAACAGATGTGTTTCATATTTCCAGTTTATCCCTTCTGAGAAGCAGATAAGCCTTTATCCCTCCTAACCAGAGGGCCTGAATCTAAAGATTCTCTAACTTTTACACGCACACTGCTGTGCTGCCTGGTAATCCAAAGATGATGCTAAAGTTCTGCTCTGTGTGGTACGTTCAGGCTCTAAGGAACAAACGACGCCAACGAGAGGGAGCCGTGGTTTTGTGTAACCATGTGTAAGCAGAGACAGAAAAGATAACAGAGGAACTCGCAGCACTTTCTAGTTTCCTCTCCCCCACATTCCTTTTTTACATCCCTCCCTCCTTCCTCTCAACTTAAATATGCTCTCCACCCCTCTCCTGTCTTCATCTTTCCCTCCACCTCCCTCCTTCAGTGGCTCTCTGTGAAAAAACAGGGTCACTGGCTTAAAACTGTTTGTGTAACAGGACAGTGTAACACCCAGTGCTGACAAATCTCCCCTAACGAATCCTTTTAACACACACACAAAAACAGAAAGTCCATGTTTGAGCCTTTCAACAAACGGAGCAGAAGGTTTGAACAGAAATCAAAGCCACAGGGATAATAGCATTGTACTAAATGTTGTTAAATTGACATCTATTAAAGAACTGATTCAATTTCTACTTATTTTATCCAAATTTGGACGAGTAAATGTGCTGTGGTTGGTACCGGAACTTGTGCAGCGTCCATGAAGCGAAGTCCGAAATAGTCTTTCTCCACGATGTCCAGGTGGTACATGATCTGTTCGAAGAGTTCTTCACCTTTGGCTTTTTTCTGTCCGGTTTTAAACACAAAAACACTAATGAATAATAATAATTTATGTTGATGTTTTATTACAAAGTAAAGCACTGATGGCTGAGACTGGTTTTATTAGGGTGGGTGAATGAGGTTTTCTAGGAAAGACGTGAGAAAATGTCCACGTCTCGTTCCGAGAAGCTGAACAGGTATCGGCCTCTGATGAGGCTGTACCAGTCACTGCCTGTGCTCTGCTAGAACTGGGAAATCTCTTTTTATATGTTCACACACACACTTCACTCTCTCTCTCACACACTACCCGCCTGCTCTTCACTCAGCAGCTGTTCATGCATCGCCTTTCTCACCATTTGCATCTAGTTTTTCTTCTGTACTGAATTCATAACACATAAAAACAGGAGCTTTTGGTTTTTTTTACTTTATAAAATACCTGGAATAGAATTGAAACAACGTAATTTTTATGTGGACAGATATTTCTATTATTAACCAGACAGAAAACCATCAGAGCGATCCATGCTTGGTGAATTAGTGGACTACGAAGGAAAAATGAACCTAAAGAGACCAAATCCCTGAATAATTGAATAAACAAGTAAATACGTGGAGGATTGTACATGCTAGCTTACTTAGATTAGGGGTGTCCCGATACAACTTTTTGCAGCCTTCAGTACTGACCGATACTGACATCAATCTGATATATCAGCATAAATCATGCATACTTTTACCTATTTTGCAGCGTGGAATGTACACTCAACAAAAATATAAACGCAACACCTTTGTTTCTGCTCCGATTTTTCATGAGATGGACTTAAAGATCTAAAATTCATGCCAGATACACAATATTACCATTTCTCTCAAACATTGTTCACAAATCAGTCTAAATGTGTGATAGTGAGTGCCTGTGCTTTACTGAGATAATCCATCCCAACTCACAGGTGTGCCACATCAAGATGCTGAACCAACATCATGAGTAGTGCACAGGTGTACCTTATACTGCCCACAATAAAAGGCCACCCTGGAATAGGCAGTTTTTTTACTTTATTGGGGGTCTGGGGACTCAGAACCTGGTGTGACCACCATTTGCCTCATGCAGTGCAACACATCTTCGCATAGAGTTTATCAGATTGTCAATTGTGGCCTGTGGAATGTTGGTCCACTCCTCTTCAATGGCTGTGCGAAGTTGTTGGATATTAGCGGGAACTGGTACACGCTGTCGTATAATCCGGTCAAGCACATCCCAAACATGCTCAACGGGTGACATGTCCGGTGAGTATGCTGGCCATGCAAGAACTGGGACATTTTCAGCTTACAAGAATTGTGTACAGGTCCTTGCAACATGGGGCTGTGCATTATCTTGCTGAAACATAAGGTGATGTCCATGGATGTACGGCACAACAATGGGCCTCAGGATCTCATCACAGTATCTCTGTGCATTCAAAATGCCATCAATAAAATGCACCTGTGTTCCTTGTCCATAAAAGATGCCTGCCCATACCATAACCCCACCACCACCATGGGCCACTCAATCCACAACATTGACATCAGCAAAGCGTTCACCCACACGACCCTACGCACGCTGTCTGCCATCTGCCCTCAACAATGTAAACGAGATTCACCCGTGAAGAGAACACCTCTCCAACGTGCCAGACGCCATCGAATGTGAGCATTTGCCCACTCAAGTCTGTTACGGCGACGAGCTGGAGTCAGGTCAAGACCCTGATGAGAACGACGAGCATGCAGTTGAGCTTCCCTGAGACGGTTTCTGACGGTTTGTGCAGAAATTGTTTGCTTATGCAAACCAATTGTTTCAGCAGCTGTCTGAGTGGCTGGTCTCAGACGATCTTGGAGGTGAACCTGCTGGAAGTGGAGGTCCTGGGCTGGTGTGGTTACACGTCATCTGCAGTTGTGAGGCTGGTTGGATGTACTGCCATATGCTCTGAAACACCTTTGGAGACGGCTTATGGTGGAGAAATGAACATTCAATGCACGAACAACAGATCTGGTTGACATTCCTGCTGTCAGCATGCCAATTGCACACTCCCTCAATGCTTGTGGCATCTGGGGCATTTTGCTGTGAGACAAAACTGCACATTCCAGGGTGGCCTTTTATTGTGGGCAGTATAAGGTACACCTGTGCACTGCTCATGATGTCAGATCAGCATCTTGATGTGGCACACCTGTAAGGTGGGATGGATTATCTCAGCAAAGCAGAAGTGCTCTCTATCAACACATTTAGACTGATTTGTGAACAATGTTTGAGAGAAATGGTAATATTGTGTATCTGGAATGAATTTTAGATCTTTAAGTCCATCTCATGAAAAATCGGAGCAGAAACAAAGGTGTTGCGTTTATATTTTTGTTGAGTGTATGAAAGGCTTGATCAATTGATATTACTCAGTCAGAAAACAAGAGCCAATGACAGTAAGTATGAAAAAAATGTCAACCTTAACGGACTGCATATATTGGAGATTTTTGATGCAGTCCGATATAATCCGATAGTGTTTTTGGGCCGATACCAAATTACTTCTGATGTCGATATTGGAACGGGACATCCCCAATTTAGACTTGATATTCTGATTCTTTTTTGGGGTTTCAAAAAGGCCTCTGACCATAAAAACCCAACCCAAGATTTTATTAATCCTTGAATCAGATCAGAAAATTACAGTTTTGATCCAATCACACAACAAATACAACAGAGAGAACCCAATGGGTAGGGAGCTAAAACAGGGAAAATGCTACAGTAGAAATAAGGAACGGACTCCTTCTCATCCCAAGATATTTTGTGGCCAGCTCAGGGGGGCTGGCCCCATGCTAGCTGGCATAGTTAACAAAGAACACCGCACCCCTATGGTACCCATGGAGAGACAGTACAAAGGGTGTATTGTGTGTGTGTGTATGTGTGTGTGTACTGCACCCAAGGTCTTGTTGAAGTGCTTGCAGTATTGTCTGTTTTCTTTTTTCTGTCAGCCTGAGAGCACATAACTCGTTTCTCTCCAACATCCTGTCAAGTATTTTACCGATGAGCTAAACCGCTGTAAATCACAGGTCCATTAGACCTGTAGCACAGCAGAGCATTCAGTTGTAAAGAGTCTAGAACAAGCGGAATAAGGGATGCATTATGGGAAACCAGAATACGTTTTTACCAGTAAAGTCACAAGCATGCTTGACTTCAGTCCTCAATCAGAATTCATTTGCTTAACGTTTTATGTGGAATACAATTAAGAGAGGAAAGAAGACTTAAGTGGTGCAGAAAGAGCAGCTAGGGTGTGTGTCTGTGTGTGTGCTACCAAAAAACTAACACAGCCTTGTTTGCATTTCACCAGATACTTATAGGATGCAAAGTTTTCAGAGGAGGTCATAGATGTTATCAAAGAATTTGCATAGTTAGCTAAATTGTTCATTTTATAAATGTTTTTTTTAATTACTTGATCATTTCAAATTGTATTCCATCACCAAAAACAACCTTTTGTAGATGGAGAAGGGAAGTCGGTGGAAACAAAGACAGTTTGTCCATCAGCTGTTTCTGAAAACCGAACAAAAGGAAAAGAGCTTTCTGTCATCAGCTGTTGTAAAAATGGAAACAGCAGTGAGAAAGTGAAGTGATGATGATGACTTGGACTGAAATGATTTCCTGCTGGTTCTGAGGCTGGGCTCCAGTCCAGCAATGCTTTGGGTCAGTGACGAGATGCTTCATGCGAAACTGAACATAGTTCTAATGTGCGGCATTGTTTCATTAAGAAAAAGCTAAATATTTTTAAAAAATTATTTTATTTGTATGAAATTGCAGATAAAGCTTCCACTTTCAGTCACCCATACAGACTCTATCAACTAGCTTTTATTATGCAAGCTGTTATGGAGTGAAAGTCAAATACACTGGAAAAACTGGTGAATTAAATTCAGGCATAAAAAAGACACCAAACTCTTTTCTATTAATCTAACTGTAATTTTTACTTCATAAACATGTATTCTGGTCCTATTCCTCAACAGAGCTTCTTGCAACTTTTGTCCTGCAACATTTCTTACACAATTTTAGCTCTGAAAGCCCACATGGGGAGTAAAAAAAGCATTTGTGAACTGTTGATGCTAATTTGGGAATAATAAAAACTACAAATCTGTAGTTAAATTACAAGAACTGTAAACAGGCACAAGCCTGGAAGAGTTCTGCTGTGTGGTGGAGTTGCTAACGCTAACTGTTAGCTTCCACTGGTAAGACATTCTCTGCTGTTTCCTGGACGCTAAACCAACAACAGCCTTCTCCGTCGTAAACCAAGATGGGTGAGTCCACGAATGTTGTGACAGTGTGATGCATTTGTCAGGCTTTTCAAGTTCTACATTTTCGCCGTCTATTTTCTACCAGAAGCTAATGCAGGAGATGGGTGTAGGAGACTATTTTCATCTTCAACCTGCATGAAAATCTCAGACTGTAATTATAATCAGAAGTTATCATTTAAAACATGGGTTTTCAGTGTTTCACACCTTTGAATTGTGATTTAAATGTCAGTATTTTTCTGACATTCTCTGAAAAGACTCAAAAAACTGAAGAGAATCCTAAAAATTACAAGTTTAAAATAAAGAAAAAGACAGGATGAGGAGAGAGTCAACGTCTGCTCCGTTGTTGATGAGTGTGAGTCATGTGATGCCGTCATGTGATCATGCTCTGAAGAAAGGATCATGGACTTACAGGTGATCAGCAGCACAGTGACACACACACACACACACACACACACACACACACACACACACACACACACACACACACACACACACACACACACACACACACACACACACTTACATTTCAGAGGCTTAACAGGCCTGCCCGCTGTTTTTATCATCCAGCTTATTAACGACCAATAAAGTTACTACTCTCACCCTTGTTTCTACTTTCCAGCAATTTGTCACAATTTTTTAACAGACTTGTTTTGTTTTTCTTAAATTATACGTTGACCAATAAGGACAAAGGAACAACCATTACAGCTACAAGCTAAAACAACAACATGCCAAGTTTCTTTTCTACCCAAGTTCAGTTTACAGCATCGTCCTTACCGGCAGCTCGACGCTGACATCTGTACCATCCAGCAGGGAAACGCGGCAGGTGATGATGGACTTTGCATCCCCAGCAGCAGGGATGTGCGTTGTGGCTCGCTGAGCCTCTCGTAAACGGGATTTTTCAGCATGTTTCCGCATGGAACGCCGCCCCAACGTCCTGCGCAGGAAACTCAGCATGATGGATGAGAGCGAGGGCAACAGTACCACACCTGGAAATCACAGAAGCTAATTATGCACTAGATGATGAAAACAAAATTGCTTTAATACAACTGTAAACACATATTTTGTCATTTACATTTATTTCAGGGATAATACATAAAAATGACGGCCATTTGTGCACAACTGTGCAATCCATGCTCACACATTAGTAAGCGATGAGTACATCATAGTAAATCCCTTTCAACCACAAATAAACAAGGAGAGGTGAGTCAAGTTAAGCTGCATGTTGGGTAAGAATCACATTTGTATGATAATCACCTTTAAACAGAGGCCCTGTTTGCCCTGATGAAACAGAAACCCGTCAAAGAGTAATCTAACTAACATAAGGAAAAACATTTCTGAGAATTTCAGATTTTTTGAGTAATAAACGTGGAAAGAGAACTTATAACACTCCCAATTTCTACGATTTACCTCACAAGAGCAGTGCGAGGATGCGTTTTCTGCTCTCAAATACCTTGATAATTATGGCTAATGGTAATGTTAATAAGTCTCTGGTTTACTAAACATCACATGAAGGACAAGGGAGACCCAGAATAGATCACAGTAGTTGGAATAAGACGTATGAAGTTTACAGATGAAACAGAAGCTCCATGAGAGTCGTGTCCCTTCTGTGAAACACGGTGGTGGTTGTGTCATGATTTGGGGCTGTTTAGCTACTTCAGCTGCACATGAGCTTTTAGTCACCGATGTTAAAAGACAAAATGTGACTTGTAGATGAGAAAATATATTTTTTATGATAATAAAATTGCAAGTGAAATAAAATGTACAAAATGGATGAAATAGGAAAGTAAGGAAAAGGTGGCATCTTCTTATATGTAGAAACTGGATTAAGACTCTCTAAGCTACATTTTACTGTCAGACATCGAAGGTTTAAAATACCATTATGGCTATAGCTTGCTAAAAGTATAGCAAGTAAAACACAGAAATACCTTACTCAATGTAAATGTCAGCACTAGTTTTACTGGTAACGTACATTTAAAAGCTTTTTTAACATAAAATACCAGCAATAATCAACATAATACAAACTGTCAAAATATATTATACAGTATGAAATACTTGAAGACGGGTTTTCAGACGGTTAAATCCCAAAAAAATGAGACAATAATAAAAACTGCAGATTATTCGTCGTTTGCTTTTTCGTTTTTTCAGGTTCGCGACAAAATGATCGACTACAGTTTTCTTACTACACAACATTGTTCCAAACTCAAAAACAAACAGGCAAAAACTAAAATAAGAGCGAGAAACATTTTCAATCCTAGCTTCACCTGTAACGGTCTGGGCCCAAAGTACCTGAAGAAGCAACAAGTGGGCGCTCGTTTTATTATTCGGGCTAACGGCTATAAAGTAAGCTCGCGTAAAAGACGATGCTCCGTCCCTGCGAAGGCGTCCCGAACGCTAAAACAAACACCGCGTTTAGCTCCGGAAGCTGGCACAGACTTGAATACTTACAAAAATACCTCCTTCAGGGAATTCACGGAGAAAGCACGCCAGCTTGCATTGTACTCGGCTAAACAGCAACCTTGTACATGTCCATTCCCCGCAACTTGCGTTTAATTCTTCTTGTTTCCGCCCTCTGACCACCGCTCGATCTCCGCAGGATAATATTCCTCAGACCCAACAAAAAGTAGGAGTCGAGCTCTCCTCAGGATGTGACGTCAGGACAAATCCCTAACAAAAGCTGTATTAACATTTTTAAAGCGACAGAATTCTTTTCTTTCTTTTCGTTTTACTTTTTTCAAACAAAACAATATTCACTTTGGGCAGAATCGTACTGGCAGTCTTTGTTACCCAACTTGTTTATTTATTTAGCTTTTGAGTATGACGTGATTAAACTAATATAAATCTGAAACAATAATTATTATAATACACCAGAATCATTTTAGGGCATCAAAAAGTCATATTTTGTTTATTTAAAAAAATCTGACTTTTCAATCTCAATTTGAGACCTAACCATGGGCCTAACATATCCCATTTTATTGAACAACAGCACCCTCTACTGGTTAGTTTCAGGTATATAAATAAGGCCTATTGAAAAAAAAATCTGAGTACTTTGTTTCTTTTCAGTTCTTATACAAATCCTAGCCTAGTGAACTAGACCAAATTCTTGCTTTGCAAAGTATATATTCACATATATAGTCTGGCTTGCCAGGCTACAAAACCACAACACCAGTTCACAACACACTCCTGTGTGCACGCACACACACGGACACGCACACGGTTTGATGGAAGGATTTCTATCCAGTCAGTGAGAACAGGACGTGCACATCGATTGGACGAGGTTTTTCTAGGATTGTACGTTTCAACTGTGATTAAAATTATTCTTTATTTTGAAACAAAAAAGTTCATTTTTAGATGCCATCAGTATGTGAGGTATCTCAATGTTCTCATGACAAAACTCTAACACGAGACTGTGCTCTAACCTGTCAAATAACAAGCTAAATGAAAGTCAAACATTTCAAATGGACCATGTGATAGCTGCTAACGTTGACCCTGCCCTACTTTACCTCTACATTTCAGTTCCTTTATGATCCATGTCCATCCTAGAGCTCCTCTCTGACCTTCATGCGTATTTAGAGCAGCTGATTTTTTAAGTTAGCAGAATTCATCCTTGGTAGTGGGTTCACTCACTCATTTAAAGATATCAGCCAGAGGCAAAATTCGTTTGAACAGCATGTGTAAATGTGTATTAAAACCTTAGATGAAAAAGATTTTTTGGATTTTGACGTCTGGAATTGTAAGAAAATCTGATGTTTGTGACTGGCGAGGGAAAAACAGAAACTAACTTCCGGTCTAAGCCCTGGGCAGCAGTTGACGTTTCACATGGAGCTCTGCTGAAACAGCTGTAGTAAACAACGCCTGACTCCGGTGTTTCTGCGTTAGTGTTATAGCAGAGAACAATGTGTCATCAATCAGATGTAGCTTCTGAAGCCTCTACTAGTCCATCAGATTTGTTTTTTCTCTGGGATACGGCAACGAGAACGGATGATAGACTACTGGAGAAGTTCAACCGAACTCCGACCCCGCCAGCTGGATATCACTACCAGAGGTGCAGACATGTTTTAGACCGTTTGACTCAGAAGACCTGAAACCCGATTTGGACATAGAGGAGGATTCTGTTCATCTTCAGAACCAAAATCGGTACAGTTTGTTTTACTTTTCTTAAATATTTCATTCCTGTGCTCCACTGGGAGCTCTAAGCTGACGAGTTCTCAGCTGGTCTTAGCTCCATCATGTGTCCCAATATAGTTCAGTAATCTACAGTTTTACTGCTGTGTGTATTTATTGATATAACTCTGGAAAATATTTAACTGACAATTTACCAGAATAAATCTTTCTGATGCTGGAGTAACTCCTTAGCTCAAGTCATTGTTTGCACTAATCCAGGATGTCATGGAGGTTTTAATGTTGAAATATAGAGATCATCTTTTAGATCAGGGGTGTCAAACTCAAACTCACAAGGGGCCGAAATGAAACTCTGGGACGGAGTCGAGGGCCAAACTTAATATTTTTTGAAAAAGTGACGGCAAATTTGCACGTTTTCTTTATCAACATATATGCAATTTTGAACCTTTAAATTTGGAAACAAACTTATTTCTGCATTAACACTGAATGTGGAATAACCAAATGACACACGAGCAAGTCAGTTACAAATAAAACACATCAGTGGTATTCATTACTTGTGGTATAATCAGCCTTTTTAAAATCTATTCAGGAATTATGTTTTCTTGTTTATTCATTTTTCTTATTTTTTATTCTCCTTTTTTTCTCCTGTGTCATCGCTGCTGTGACATCTAGCTTTCCCCACTGAGGAACAATAAAGGGATTTTCTATTCTATTCATCTATCTGCAGGCTTTCCACTTCCTGTTTACTGTAGGTTAAATCTTTTCTCACGGGCCAACAACTAAATGAAAATATCATTTTATCTTAAATGAAAATGCAACATCTCACCTGTTAACTTTCATGTTTTGGAGCAGAAAAAGAGCATAAAACCAACATAAGTTTGTTCCACTGGTTTACTGTGATGCTCACCTGTTCCAGCCAGATACCTGCATCATGGGGTTGATCTAAGCTGAGGAGGAGACTCCTGTTGTTTTGTTCATCTTCATCATAATATTGACAACATTAGATGACAACAGGTGCTCACATAGGTTTGTGCTGATGAACATGTCTGAGCAGCTTGACCACGTTGTTGTGTGTCGGGGGGAAACACAACAGCAGCCACAGAGCCGTGCTGGTTTGAGCGTATCGCTGCTCGCTGGAGTTATATCAGCTCTGTCTGGACGTTAGTTTGAAAACTTTCTCTTTAAGTCGTGAACACATTACTGAGCGGCTAGAATCTCCGTTTCTGGGCTTCAACGTCAGAAAACAGCTGAGTGAACTCGGAGCTGAGTGAGAGGAGTGAAGCTTGTCCGAGACAGCGGAGCTGCAGAGACACAACTACCTCTGACTGCCTCGGCGCTGAAAAAACACAAAGGAGGGGGCGCGTCTGCTCCGCGCTGGCGCCGCAAAGCATCATGGGAGTTGTAGTCTTTGCGGTAAAATCGGCCAGCGGGCCAGTTTTAATATATTTTTGATATTTATCTCACGGGCCACATAAAAATGCTCCGCGGGCCGCATCTGGCCCGCGGGCCTAGACTCTGACATATGTGTTTTAGATTATATCTGTGTGTGTGTGTGTGTGTGTGTGTGTGTGTGTGTGTGTGTGTGCGTGTGCGTGTGCACGCGAGTGTGTGTGTGCGTGTGCGTGTGCACGCGAGTGTGTGTGTGTGTGTGTGTGTGCGTGTGCGTGTGCACGAGAGTGTGTGTGTGCGTGTGCGTGTGCACGCGAGTGTGTGTGTGTGTGTGTGTGTGTGTGTGTGTGTGTGTGTGTGTGTGTGTGTGTGTGTGTGAGTGAGTGTGGTAGCTTTCCCAAAGGACTTGTTCTTTCCTTACCGGAGCTAACACGGTTAGCAGTTTTGCTGCAGTCATGCTAACGGGACTCGTCTAGAGTGCAGTTCTAGATGGATTTATAGATGTAGGTTATTATTTTAGATCAGACCTGTTATTTAAAAATGCGTGTAGGACATGGACATGTGGCCAGTGGCGGTTCTACATCGAATTACTCCCCGGGCGAGGCCCCCTTTGAGCGAAAGCCCGGCCACCAGGCGCTCGCTCACGGGCCCCAACCCCAGGCCTGGCTCCAGGGTGGGACCCCGGTAACCCTCCGGGCCGGGTACTCCGACTCTTCGTTTTAACCGCCATGAAAGATCCTTCGAACCGTTCTTTGTCTCACCCTTCACCTAAGACCAATTTGTCATGGGAGACCCTACCAGGGGCACTAAGTGCCCCAGACAACATAGCTCCTAGGATCATTAGGGCACTCAAACTCCTCCACCACGATAAGGTGACGGTTCAAGGAGGAGTAGTCACCTCGCTGGCGGGGAAGGAGCCGGAGCTTGTGGCAGAGGTTGAGCGGTACCGGCTAGATATAGTCGGACTCACCTCGACACATTGCATTGGCTCTGGAACCCGAGACCTGGAGAGGGGTTGGACACTCTACTTTGCTGGAGTTGCTCCGGGTGAGAGGCGGAGGGCTGGGGTTGGCTTTTTGTTAGCCCCGAGACTCTCTGCCTGTGTGTTGGGGTTTACCCCGGGGGACAAGAGGGTAGCTTCCTTGCGCCTTCGGGTCAGGGAACGGGTCCTGACTGTTGTTTGTGCTTATGGGCCAAATATCAGTTCAGAGTACCCACCCTTTTTGGAGTCCCTGGGACGAGTGCTAGATAGTGCTCCATCAGGGGACTCCATTGTCCTGCTGGGGGACTTCAATGCTCACGTGGGCAATGACAGCTTGACCTGGAGGGGTGTGATTGGGAGGAACGGCCCACCTAATCTGAACTCGAGCGGTGTTTTGTTATTGGACTTCTGTGCAAGCCGCAGTTTGGCCATAACGAACACCATGTTCGAACATAAGGATGCCCACCGGTACACTTGGTACCAGGGCAGCCTAGGTCACAGGTCGATGATAGATTTTGTAGTCGTATCATCTGACCTGCGGCCGTATGTTTTGGACACCCGAGTGAAGAGAGGGGCGGAGCTGTCAACTGATCACCACCTGGTGGTGAGTTGGATCAGATGGCAAGGGAACATGCCGCGTAGACCTGGCAGACCCAAACGCATAGTGAGGGTCTGCTGGGAACGCCTGGCAGAAGAACCTGTCAAGACGGTCTTCAACTCCCACCTCCGGCAGAGCTTTGACCACGTCCCGAGAGCAGTGGGGGACATTGAGTCCGAGTGGGCCTTGTTCCACTCTGCGATTGTCGAGGCGGCTGTTGCTAGCTGTGGTCGTAAGGTGGCCGGTGCCAGTCGTGGTGGCAACCCCCGTACCCGCTGGTGGACACCAGAGGTTCGGGGAGCCGTCAGGCTGAAGAAGGAGGCCTACAGGGCGTGGCTGGTCTGTGGGTCTCCGGAGGCAGCAGACAGGTACCGGATAGCCAAGCGGGGTGCAGCAGTGGCAGTTGCCGAGGCAAAATCTCGGGCGTGGGAGGAGTTTGGTGAGGCCATGGAGAAAGACTATCGATCGGCTCCAAAGAGGTTCTGGCAAACTGTCCGGCGCCTCAGGAGAGGAAGGCAGCAACTCGCTCACACTGTTTACAGTGGGGATGGGGAGCTGCTGACGTCAACTGAGGCTATAGTCGGACGGTGGAAGGAATACTTTGAGGAGCTCCTCAATCCCACCAATGCGCATTCCGAGGAGGAACCAGAGCTGGGAGGCCTGGGGATGGACTGTCTGATCTCGGGGGCAGAAGTTGCTGAGGTAGTCAAACAACTACACAGCGGCGGAGCCCCGGGGGCGGATGAGGTTCGTCCTGGGTATCTTAAGGCTATGGATGTTGTAGGGCTGTCATGGTTGACACGTCTCTACAACATTGCGTGGTCATCGGGGGCAGTTCCTAGGGAGTGGCAGACCGGGGTGGTGGTCCCCATCTTTAAGAAGGGTGACCTGAGGGTGTGTTCCAACTATAGGGGGATCACACTCCTCAGCCTCCCTGGAAAGGTCTACTCCAAGGTACTGGAGAGGAGGGTCCGATCGATAGTTGAATCTCAGATAGAGGAGGAGCAATGTGGTTTTCGTCCTGGCCGTGGAACTGTGGACCAGCTCTATACCCTTGCAAGGGTGATGGATGGGGCATGGGAGTTTGCCCAACCAATCCACATGTGCTTTGTGGATTTGGAGAAGGCTTATGACCGTGTCCCCAGGGGCACCCTGTGGGGGACGCTCCAGGAGTATGGGGTGGGTGGCTTTCTGTTAAGGGCCATTCAGTCCCTTTACCAGAGGAGCGTGAGTTTGGTCCGCATAGCCGGTAGTAAGTCGGACCTGTTCCCAGTGAGGGTTGGACTCCGCCAGGGCTGCCCTTTGTCACCGGTTCTGTTCATCACTTTTATGGACAGAATTTCTAGACGCAGCCGTGGTGTGGAGTGTGTCGAGTTTGGTGGCAGGAGAATCTCGTCTCTGCTTTTTGTGGATGATGTGGTCCTCCTAGCTTCATCCAGCTCTGACCTTCAGCTCTTGCTGGGTAGGTTCGCGGCCGAATGTGAAGCGGCTGGGATGAGGATCAGCACCTCCAAATCTGAGACCATGGTTCTCGACCGGAAAAGGGTGGCTTGCCACCTCCGGGTCGGGGGAGAGGTCCTACCTCAAGTGGAGGAGTTTAAGTATCTCGGGGTCTTGTTCACGAGTGAGGGTAGGAGGGATCGGGAGATCGACAGGCGGATTGGTTCGGCGTCTGCAGTGATGCGGACGCTGAGCCGATCTGTCGTGGGGAAGAGGGAGCTGAGCCAGAAAGCCAGGCTCTCGATTTACCGGACGATCTACGTCCCAATCCTCACCTATGGTCATGAGCTTTGGGTAATGACCGAAAGAACGAGATCGCGGATACAAGCGGCCGAAATGAGTTTCCTCCGTAGGGTGGCCGGGCTCAGCCTTAGAGATAGGGTGAGGAGCTCGGACATTCGGGAGGGACTCGGAGTAGAACCGCTGCTCCTCCGGATCGAAAGGAGCCAGTTGAGGTGGTTTGGGCATCTGGTCAGGATGCCTCCTGGACGCCTCCCCGGGGAGGTGTTTCGGGCATGTCCTGCCGGCAGAAGGCCCCCGGGTCGACCCAGGTCACGTTGGAGAGGTTACATCTCCAATCTGGTCCGGGAACGCCTTGGGATCCTGCCGGAGGAGCTGGTGGACAAGGCCGGGGAGAGGACGGCCTGGAGCTCCCTAGTTGGGATGCTGCCCCCGCGACCCGGACCCGGATAAGCGGAGGAAGACGACGACGACTATGAAGTTGTCAGAATGTAAAGCACTATACATTATAAACTGTATCAAAATATATAGAATCAAATATACAAAAACAAACAATAACTAAATATTAAGAATATATGAACATAATAGATAATAAATATTCTAAATAGCAAAAATATTTCACACGTAACAAACTAAAGATAATCACTACAGCATTGCACTTAGAATAGAAAACACAAACTAAAATCAAAACCTAACCTTGATGCAAAGTCATCAATAATGTCATCATATGAAATCTGCTTCCCTACTGAGTGATTGATACTAATCAGAGCCAGGTTAGTGAGCCGCCCCTGAAACATAGGTGACCTCAGGTATGACTTGATCAAGTTTTGAAAAGCTCCTCTCAGCTTGAGCCACAGTGACTGGCAGAGCAGTCCAAAAGTTGGGGTAGATCTCCAATAGATCTCATGATCCATAATATTTTAGAATTGCCTCTGAAATTGTAATTTAAACTTACATATAAAAAAACTGTAGACTACCAAAAATGTCAACTTTTACAGAACAAACCAGGTAAAAAATAATCAGTGCAGCCATCTGCAATAAATAAACAGTTAGTGGTGACTGGGGTGTTTTCTTCTGCTTGTACAGTTGTTTTATTTATTATTATGTGAACATGATCAACTTGTGTTTGTTGTTCAGGCAGGCCGCAGGCTGCAGTGAGCATTTAACAAATCCTAGTTTGAATCAGTAAAAAACGATTCAAGGACTTTTTTCAAACCATTTGAATATTCGTTTCAATATTTCAGCCCTATTAGCTCTGTTAGCAATTAGTTGACCGCATTTAACCGTTAAAATCCCAGTTAACTGGTTCAAAAAATTGAAAACATGCATCATGAGAGCTACATACCTTTATCTTTCTCCTCTTTTTTCTTTTTTTCCCCCTGAATCGGGCACCTGGTGGTTTTAGCCTTTTTATGTTCATCTCTTCAGTTTGGCTCCTGACTCAGTAAGTTTCCTTTAGTCAGGACTAAACTATTTGACCTTGATGGGGGGGTGACCACAAAATCGTTTTGTTTTTCCTTTTTTTATTCGGCCATTTCACACAATTCAGAGAAACCTGAAAGAATGATAGGCCTGTGTTTATGATATTATGAATGAAATATGGAAGAACATCAAGATGTGATTGACTTTAGCCATGTTAATACAGTTGATTCAGCCCCTGCACGCTCATTCATTTGGGAAAGACGCAGAGGTGAATTCCCCCGCCGCACCCCTCCCCTTCCTGTTCTTCATAGACACACGGTGCACGTGAACGTTCTCAGTCAGCAGGAGCGCCTGCAGCTGCAGGGGGCGCCAACTTGCTGTTTCCAATCCAGACACTGTCATATGACAGATAATAGAAAACCTCGGTGCGGCGCAGATTTCCTTTTTTTTTTTTTTACTCCGCGCTTGTGCGCCCCTTTTGTGTCATGAAAAAATGCCGCCCCGGGCAACTGCCCTGTCTGCCCGTGCCTAAAACCGCTACTGCATGTGGCTCAGACCTTTGCTGCATAGTTCTGAAACCCAAGTTTTTCATTTTTATTTGTAGTTTTTAGTGGTCGAAGGTTGCAATAATAGCTTACTGCCTATTTGTTATTATTTCTCTTCAAATTATTCTGGTGAGTGCTGGTGCTGCTGTAACAAGTGAATTTCCCCACTGTGGGATCAATAAATCTATTCTATTCTATTATATTATATTATATTCTATATTAACAATCGCTTTCTGCTATGATTAATAATGTATCTTCCTTCAGTGCATGTAACAACTCTGGGGTGGTTTTTGATTTAAAAAAAATTCATAAACAAGTTGACTCATGAGTGAAGTAGTTTTCATACCTCCAGATTTTAGCTAAACTTAAGCTCAGCTTTCAGCAGATGAGTCCAACAGGTTCCAGCTGAGAGCTGTTTTTATGTTTTGGTAACAATGACCAGCACAAATCATCACTTTGGAAAAGTCACACCAGGTAATCTAGAAATCTGATGGAGGACATGCAAGTGAAACTGGAAAAAATGTAGATATTGTGTAAAAGTCCATTTATTTCAGTAATTCAACTTAGACTGAGAGACCAGGAGCGAGCCGCCCCGATTATGTTGCCATGACATGTCGAGATGTGCAGCAAAACATGAAGTTACGCGTCACGCTGACGTCACTCAGAAAACTCAGAAGATTCAGAAGTAAGTAAGTAAAAAAATAAATAAAATGAATAAATAATAAATTCAATCAAAAATAACCCCCACCCACCCACTATCTCTCTCCCATGCTTATTTCTCAGTGTGGTCTCAGGGAGCTGCTACAGAACTCCATCAGTCAGTCCATCACGGGGACACGGGGACAGTCTAAGATCTTCTAGTCGTGGGCTGGTGTTGAAACTCCCACACCCGTTTTTCACACAACAGGAGATGTTTTAGAGCACTGGTCCCAGGTGGATGAATAGAATAGAACATTAATGTCAGTGGGGAAATTCATTTGCTAGAGCAGCACAAACACTTACAAGAAAAAGGAAAATTAATAAGATTAGAGGTAAACACACAAAGGCAGTACGCTATTATAGTAACCTTCAACGACTAAAAACAATGAATAAAAAAACTGGGTTTCCAGAACTATGCAGCAGGGACACAAACATACTACATCCGGTAATAAAATCATCTCTATGTTCTTTTTAACAACAGCTGATTTATGTATAATGGTTTTAACTAGATTTTGGCTGTATGACTTTATGTTTTATCTATTTTATTTTTGCTTTTATGTCCTTAATTTCATCTATAGTGCCTTGAGATTTATTGTGAAGCACTGTCAGTTTTTTAAATCCTGTACGAATAAATTTTAACACACGTGTCTCACTCCATGCTGCACGTGCTTGCATCTGACTGGGCGCCATTAATGAGCAGTGAAAATGCAGACAGCGCCTCACTGACCAGTGCGAGCCAGGGAGAGGAAATATCAGAGATGAAGATGTGAGGTGCATGGGTGTAATTTTAATGAGATCAAAACTGGTTTTATTACAGATGTTTCGTTTTCTTTCAGAACCATTAGACTGTCAATATTTTAGGTGCAGTACCACCAAATGGCCACAGGAGGGGGCGACATTGGTCCAACAGACGGTTTACATTGACCTGTAACACCGTGGTTAAGACAACTGACTTCATCTGCCTGATTTCATGTTCCTGATATTTTCTAATTAAAGTTGATCTGTTTGGTCAGTCTTGTTTTCTCTACTTCCTGGACTCAGCGCCAGAAACGATTTTCCACTCCTTTTACGTAACGTAGAAGCAAGCCCTTGTTGCCATGGTGACCTGCCGCATGCTACGCTAAATACCGTTCGCCCTCTGCTGCTTTTGCTGCGTGTGCACAAAGTTCACGTGTTTGCCTTCACGTGCTTCATTGAGCTCGTATTTACAGGTAGGACTGACATTTCTATTCTTTAGTGTTTAAAAGTGTTTCATTAGAACCTGCAGAAGCAGCTAAACGTTCTTTCTGTCCCAACTGGACCGGACCGGACCCTCTGGAGACAGAAACCCGACACAAGACGGTCACAGCGTTGACGCATGTCTGACAGCACTTGTAGCACCAGTAGAAGACGTATCGTAGTACCAGCAGACGCAAAGTAGCGCGCGCGCACCAGTACATTTGTAATCGTCTGCACGCACGGAAGCGCAGGTGGCGCGATGACGTCACAAAGCCTTTATGACTAACGCGTCTGCAGCATGGACATATACATGTAGGTCTGCAGTCAGTGGTCAGTCAGTATCAGACTTGCTTTGAAGAAGGTGGTTGGACGGATTGTTGCTCTCAGAAAACTTGTTGGTTTTGTGTAAACAACATCTTTTAACAGCTTCCTTCAGAGAAATCTGGTGCATTTGGTGAATATTTATAGCTAAATTATTCACTGCTCGAAAATCACAGAGTGCAAAATGGTCTTTGTTCTCTCAAACAGCCAACCAGCTTTCCAGTCAGGGCTAAGGTCCTCTGAGCTACAGTCGTTTCACAAACGACGCAGATATGAACTTCTGGCTAGCTACAGAGGAACTAGCTTTGCAGAAACACAAAAACTGTGTCTGTCTGCATCAAAACCTGACAAGTCTCGTCAGATTCAGCCCTTTGAGGAACCAAGTGTCTTTTTCAAGACAGCCGCGTCTGTGGACACCAGTGGAGGTTTAACATCCATCTCCAGCAAAAACTCCTCTGTTTTACGGGCTAATCGACAAGACCAAAGATATAAAATGCTGGCAAGGTACCGAGGAATTTCCTTAGTGGAGAAAAGACAGATGTCCTCTGTCCAACTCCAGGATACTCCTCGCATTCAGCTGTTGGGGAAAAGAAAGCGTTCGAGTGACGGAGGTCACGAGAACTCTGATTTCCCCAGCGCTGCTAAAGGGCCGAGGCTGTCAGAAGGCGCACCTCAGCAGAAACGTCCCACTATGATCCGCCTCAAAGGTCGTAGGAAAGAGACGGATTCAGGACCCAAAAGTGTCTCCGGACCCCCCAAAACTGCATCTACCATCAAGTCTGAGCAGCCTCGAACTCCAGTAATCTGGATTATTGGATCCAGTTACATCAGACGGGGTGAAGAGGCGGCTCAGCGGCAGTTTGGGACAAACTTTGGACTCAGAGCTAAGGTCCAATGGTTTGGCAAAGGAGGCATGCGCTGGGATGGTGTCCTTCCCAGGTTTTACTCCGAGGCTCCCACACACGGCCCTCCAGACATTCTGGTCGTCCACGCTGGAGGAAACGATCTGGGTCTCGTTTCCCCGGTGGAACTGGCTTCTCAGATCCAAAAGGATTTGTCCCACCTCCATAAGGACTTTCCGGAGATGAGAATAGCCTTTTCCGCCATCAACGAACGGCAGTCGTGGAGATACGGGCGACCAGGAAGAATTAACAACAACAGAAAACAGGTTAATTCTTTACTGAGGAGGGCCGTTAGGAGCTTTGGGGGCCTGGTCATCGAGCATCCTGAGCTCAGGTTCTTCAACAACGCCCTTTTTCTCCCAGACAGAGTGCATTTTAGTAAGAGAGGAAACAGCTTGTTTCTGGGCAGCATTCACTCTGTTCTGGAGAAGATTCTGGCTCAGAGGTGTAACACCTAAATCTGTTACGCCTTAAAAAGATAACAGCTGACAGAAAAGGGCAAATGGACACGCTTCTCATCCGGCACGTGTGTGAATCAATCGTTGGATTAGGACTCCTGAAGAGCCAACAACTGTCACGCTGAGCAGGAGGAGGTCGGACCCAAAACGCAGAAGCCCAGAATGACTCGAGGCAAGAGCGGTTGAAAAAAGGTCAAATCCTTTTATTAAGGTGGCAACAAGAATGACTTAGATGCAGGAATCAAATCCAGAAAACTGAAAGCCAAAAAAACACAAAAGCTCAATAATGAGCACAAAGACTAGAACCTGACGAGGGAACAAAACAATGCTGACTCACACCGATGGACCGACAAACACCGAGGGACAAGACAGGACTTTTAAACACAGAGCGAAGTGATCAGAGGAACAGGTGACAGGTGTGAGTGATCTGGAGGGAAGGCAGGTGCATTCAGTAAACTAAATGTGGAAAGAACTAAGCAGGAGAACCTGGAGGAGAACAGGAGGAGGCCGGGGACAGAGGGACACAGAACATGACAACAACTGTCTTTTTAAAGACAAAACTAAACAAAAAACATGAAAAAGACGAACTTAAAGTTCAGAAAGCATCTGAATAAAAAACCAAAAAAAAAAAAAAAAACCAACTAACTCTGCCAGGGTTTCCCTTTTGGGTCACTTCTGCCGGTCCCAAGCCCGGATTAAAGAGGAGGGGTTGGATTATAACACAGAACTAAATCCACAGTAGTTATTTTACTCTTAAGAAATAAAATGAAGGCAGGTTATGACATATACAAATATATTTAGTAAACATTTACAGTTTCTAATCAAACATGTCAAATATAAAACTGTTTATTATACAATACAGTACAAACCCAGTTGCATCAGGGCAGCCGACTCTCACCAGAAATGAGCTCGACTAACTGCCGACAATGCGGACCGAGCTCTGACGCCAGTCGTACAGGGTCCTAACAGCCCGTATCAGAGGGCCTGGTACCCCATCCTCCTGAAGTACCCCCCAGAGGGTACGGGCTGTTAAGACCCTGTACCCTACCCTGTACCCGACAGGTCCTGTTCTTGACTGGACCTGTAGTCACCTCAACATCTGATGCTGTACAAAAGGAGGAGGACTGAAACTTCAGCAGCGAGCTCTGAAGAAGACTGCAGTAGTAGTTGAATGTGTTAAAGAAGAATGGTGGTGAAGATGACCTCCATCCTACAAAACCCCTCCTACCCACTCAGTGTGTAACCCCTCAGTTTAAGCTGTACTGGCATGATCCTGGTACACAATAACACCAATGCAATATTCAGTATGTGTTCAATATCCGTGCAATACCGGATTTACATGGTATGTCTGTGTCCCTTACAGCATGCTGCA